CGCGATCATCACGGATACGATCGGATCCGTGTTCGGATATCTCTCCGGACTGGCTCAACCGCTCGCCACCCTTTCGCATCCCATAGCACTTGATACGGGGTTCTATGTTGTTGTCTTCGGATTTGCGATCGTGGCGGTATGGGCGGCTTACAAGACGATATCGCCACTCGTGCATTTGCTTGAATGGGGTTTTGACGAAATCCGCAGGACACTTGGTTTCGGCACGCGGAATGGCGGATCGAAGAGTGACAAGCCGGACGAACTCCGGTTCGACGCGAGCACCGTCAAAGGTCTGACAGGTCTATACGTCCGTCACCTGAAGCTGCTGGCCGGCAATCCGATCGGCAACGTCCTGACGCTCGTCGCTGTTCTCGGCACCTGTGCGTTGATCTTCATGTCATTTTCCTCCAATCCGACCGGTGTCGAGTTCTTCGTGGACGAGGAACCGGATCAGGCCGTGGTCATGGTGTCTGCAAGGGGCAACATGTCCGCAATGGAATCACTGGAGATCGTCAAGCAGGTCGAGGCGGAAGTGCTTCAGACAGCCGGTATCCAGAACGTCATCACGTCTGCGTTTCCACCAGGCGGTGGCAGCGGTCCCCAGTTCATTGGCGGGGTCCAGGACAAGCCGGCTGACGTCATCGGTGAAATGTCGCTTGAGCTGGCAAAATACTGTTGCCGCCGAAATGCCTCGGAGATCTTTGCGGAAATCCGCGACCGGACCGCCTCCATTCCCGGCATCAGGGTCGAGACCCGCAAGATCGAGGGCGGCCCTCCAACCGGCAAGGACCTCCAACTGGAAGTCAAGTCGACCGACTATGACACAATGGTGGAGCAGGTAGCCCGCATCCGCACCAAACTCGACGAGATGAAGCATCTTCTCGATCAGGAAGACGGTCGGCCCCTGCCCGGCATCGAGTGGCAGATCGAAATCGACCGCGAACAGGCGGGCCGTTATCAGGCCGGGATCGGTTCCGTCGGCAACATGGTTCAGCTCGTCACCAATGGTGTTCTGATCGGAAACTACCGTCCGACAGACTCCGAGGACGAAGTTGATATCCGCGTTCGCCTTCCCGCCGACGAGCGGACGCTCGACCGCTTTGACCAGTTGCGCCTTCAAACACCCCTTGGCCTTGTGCCGATCGCAAACTTCATCGACCGCTCACCTGAGCAGAAAGTCTCGTCGATTACCCGGCGCGACGGTCTTTATTCGATGATGCTGAAGGCGACCGTCGACAAGACCGCGGTGGACGAAGACGGCAAACCTGTCACGGTGGACGCCAAGGTGCAGGAGCTGAACGAATGGCTGGATGCCCAGACCTTCCCGGACAATATCTACCTGCAGTTCCGCGGCGCTGATGAAGATCAGAAGGAGTCGGGTGAATTCCTGATGAAGGCGATGGTGGCATCGCTGTTCCTGATGTTCCTGATCCTGCTCACCCAGTTCAACTCGTTCTACCAGACGTTCCTGACCCTTTCGACTGTCGTCATGTCGGTCATGGGCGTGTTGCTCGGCATGATGCTGACTGGCCAGAAGTTCTCGATCATCATGACCGGGACTGGGGTGGTGGCGCTTGCCGGGATCGTGGTCAACAACGCGATCGTCCTGATCGACACCTATAACCGCTTCCGGCATGACGGTTTCGATCCGCTCGACGCGATCCTGAAGACATCGGGTCAGCGTATCCGTCCGATCCTGCTGACCACGGTCACGACAATTGTCGGTCTGGTGCCGATGGCAACTGCCGTCAACCTGGACTTCTTCACCCAGACCGTCGCGGTTGGCGGTATCACGGCGATCTGGTGGATACAGCTGTCGACCGCGGTGATTTCCGGCCTCGCCTTCTCCACGATCCTGACGCTGGTCATGATCCCGGTGATGATCGCGGTGCCAAGCACCTGGGCCAATAGCGGCCGGGCTATCTGGGCCATGGTGTCCAGCAGGCCTGCCGAACAGGTCGCAGAGCAGCCGGAACAGGGTGAAGTCGATACCGACCTTGAACAGGATGTCGAGTGGACCGATCCGGACCTCGAAAAGGAACGTCCCGCCGCAAAGGTGGTGTCGATGCCCAAGCCGGCGCCTCCCAAGGTCCCGCTGCAGGAAGAACCGCCGCTTGCCGCGGAGTAGAATTCCGGCAGACCCAAATGAAAACAAAAAGGGCCGTGCATCGCACGGCCCTTTTTTTGCCAGGCCAGCTGTGACCGGAAGATCCGAAAATCAAGACTTGCAACGACGAACGGAGCCCTGCACGGTGAAGATGACCGACTAGGGGACCCAATGGATCATCGTGCTTTCATCGCCGGACTGACCGCGTCCCAACGCGCCGGATTGACCGAAAAATCGAATGCAAAAGGGCTGGCCGGCCTCGCCCTTCATTTCGGCTTGATTGTCCTGGTTGGCGGTTTGATCGCGGTCGGCGTTCCCGGCTGGCAATTTCTCATGATGGTCCAGGGCATCCTGATCATTTTCCTGTTCACTTTGCTCCATGAAACCATCCACCGGACGGCGTTTCACTCGCCCCTGCTCAACGACCGGGTTGCGAGGCTCTGCGGATTTTTGATCGTCGTGCCGTCGGACTGGTTCCGTTACTTTCATTACGCGCACCACCGCCACACACAGGACCCGGATAACGACCCAGAGCTAGCTGGTGGAAAACCGGATACCGTTTGGGAATACCTTGTTCATGTCAGCGGGTTGCCAACCTGGTGGAGCGAATGGAAAACCCTTTTTGAAAATGCATCCGGGCGCTGCGAAACTTCTTTCGTCCCGGTCAACGGCCGGGACAGGGTCCGGCGTGAAGCGGTTGTCTCGCTCCTGCTCTACGGGTTTCTGGCTCTGGTCTCGATCGTAAGCGGGTTGCACCTGCTGCTTTATGTCTGGGTAATACCCAGTCTACTCGGCCAACCCTTCCTGCGACTTTACCTGCTGGCCGAACATGGACGTTGTCCTTTTGTCGCCAACATGCTGGAAAACAGCCGGACGACCTACACGAACGCGCTTGTGCGAAAACTCGCCTGGAACATGCCCTACCATGCCGAACATCACAGTTATCCAACCGTACCGTTCCACAAGCTGCCCGATCTTCACAGCCTGATCAAAGAGCATCTGAACTCGACGTCTGACGGATACACCGCGTTTCATGCAGACTACCTGACGAACCTGAGGGATGTTTCGAGCAAGTCCTAGCTCATGTCACGCAGGTTCGCTGGTTGCGGGGTACCGTCATTGCCCGGTCAATTTCTGTCCCGCCCATTTTTTGAGAACCAGGGCTCTTGCCAGAAATTGATGTCGGCAATATAGTTGTATGATACAACTTTTATCTCAGGTGATCCATGACAGACGCGTCCCCTTCCCTCGTACAGGACATTCGTGCAGCCTCGCGGCAGCTTGTCAGGGAGTTCGGTTTTCTTGACCGGACAATCGCCGGAACAGATCTTTCAGGCTCCGGCGTCCATGCAATTCTGGAAATCGGGCACCATCCAGGCATCACCGCAAAAGATCTCGCGACCAGGCTAAAGCTCGAGAAATCGACAATCAGCCGCTTGCTCAAGTCGCTGGACCTGCGCGGGGAAATCATCCAGACCCGATCGGAAAAGGATGGCCGGGTTTTTGGTCTGAGCCTGACAAACACCGGTTGGGAGACATTTTCCAGGATCGACAGGTTCGGCAACGATCAGGCCGTCGGCGCACTTGGCCGGATCAGAAACGGCTCGGCCCGCTCGATCGCCGATGCCTTGTCGTCCTATGCGGACGCGCTGGCCGGATCGGACGCAATTGACGCATCTCAGACACCTGGACACGACATCGTCGAAGGCTACCAGACCGGCATGATCGGTGACATCGCGGCACTGCATGCGCGCACCCACGGCGTCTTCATCGGCATGGGACCAACCTTTGAAAGTGTCGTCTCCCAGGCCATGGCCGAATTCATGCCCCGCATCGAGAACCCGGTGAACAACAGCTGGAGTATCGTTGAGAACGGCGAGATCATCGGGTCGATCAGCATCGATGGCGAGGACCTTGCAGGCAACATTGCGCACCTGCGCTGGTTCATCCTGTCGGAAAAGCTTCGTGGCCTCGGGTTCGGAAAAAAGCTGCTGCTGAAGGCTATTGACCATTGTGATTCTCATGGATTTGAGGAAATCCATCTCTGGACCCTCAAGGGCCTTGATGCTGCAAGAAATCTCTATGAGCGGAACGGGTTTTTTCTTGCCGACGAATATGTCGGCGACCAATGGGGCAAGTCGGTTACAGAGCAAATGTTCATTCGCAAAAGGCGCTGAAAGGTTTGCGGAAAAAATTTGCTTCCACCGGGGCAGTGCTATCGTTTTCTCATTGATTGCGCCGGTATTTCGGACCGCAGTGCCTCGCGTGAAGCCTCAAAGCGGCCGTTCGCCCGAATATTCTTGTCTGGAACCTATGAGAATATTTCCGAGTTTACTTTTGGTTTGCCTGGAACGAACAAAAGGACAAAAACAAAAACGAAATTCACGACAGGCACAAGGCCCACGAGTGCCAAGAATGGTGACCAGCGCAAATCCTGTAGCCGCATGATATGAAAACGCTGGCTGAAATACCCGACCAAGAGACCGCAAATCAAAACTACAAGCGCGCCCAGATCGCTGTTACCTGCCTGACTTGAGGCCAAAAAACTGATGCCGATGCCGAAGACCAGCAAGATCAGCAAGCGAACAAAAAATTCCATCCTGGTCAGGTAGCGGTCGCGTGCTGTCGTGAGATACGCAACAACGAAGAGAATGAGTGCGACGGCGATAAACAGGATCTGCAACATGGAATAAATTGTCCTTCCCTCGTCTCAAACAAACAATCGATCACAATGTTGAATTGTCATCACTCTGACGGCAGTCAGGCACAGCCGAATGGTAGTTACCAAAAAGATCTGAAGGGTTGGCTTCCACCGGTCGGCTGCGCCTGGGGCGCAAAGGATTGCAGTTTACGGGCAAAGAGTATGCCCCGCAAACGACACACCGGCTCGCCGTTATGCCTTTGTGATTGAATTCCCGCCATCGCACAACATTGCAGAACCCGTTACGAACGAACCAGCGTCGGACAGGAGAAACAGGGCTGCTCTTGCAATCTCGTCCGGCTCGGCCATTCGCTTCAAGGCATGCAGTCCTGCGATGTATTCATGAAAGGCCGGATCATCCCCGGCCATCTCGGTTTTGGTTCCGCCGGGCAGCAACGCATTCACCCGAATTTTTTGCGGACCGCACTCCACTGCCAAAACCTGCATCAGGCCAATCAACCCGGCCTTCGAAGCAGCATAGGCGGACATGCCCGGAAAGCCGATCGTGTGACCGACAAATGTCGAAGTGAAGACCATCGATCCACCTCCGGTCGTCTTCATGGCCGGGATCTGATGCCTTGCAGCAAGAAAGGCGCTGGTCAGATTGGTTGCGATGACCTGATTCCAGTTTTCAAGGCTCAACTCCGGAAGCGGCCCCATCTCACCCATCATCCCGGCATTGTTGAAGGCCCCGTCGAGCCTGCCGAAGGTCTCAAGCGTTGCATTTACGGAGGCTTCGGCGAAGTCGGGATCGCAAACGTCTCCGGCAAATATGGCGACACGCCCGGACGCGTCAGGCAACGACGCCCTCACCTCCTCCAGACGTTCCCTACGCCGTGCAGCAAGGACAAGATTGGCACCCTCCTCTGCAAAAATCTTAGCTGCGGCCGCACCGATCCCGCTGCTCGCGCCCGTAATCAAAATGGTTTTTCCGTGTAACATCTGAGCTTCCTCATGATTGTGAGGCCGCCTAAATGAACCAGAAAACTTCTTCGAAAAACCCGATTTGCGAGAACCGCAATCGCCTCAACCGCCATGATCCTTGTCGCGATCGGCAATATTGTCGAGATCGGTATCACATTCGTCCCCATCGTCATCGAGGCTGAGTGTTTCATCAGCCAGGACAAGTTTGCGATGTGCGCGCCACGACATGGGGATGGACAGCAGATAGAGAACCGCAGCCCCTGCCAGCATGCGGAACGGATAGCTGACCGTAAGCGCAACGATCAGAACTGCAAGGACAATCAACGGCAAAACGAAATCGCGGCGGACCCTGGTGCCGATTGTCTTTCCCGAATAAGTGGGCAACCTGCTGATGACCAGAAATGCAATCGCAATCGTGTAGGCGGCCACGAAGGCGGTATCTGCAAACCAGTGCGGAAACAGGCCCAGAAAATCGAGATACAGCGGGAGAAGAACCGTCAAGGCGCCTGCGGGAGCAGGAACTCCGGTGAAGAACCTGGAAGTCCATGCGGGTTTGCCGGGATCTTCCAGTGCAACGTTGAAACGCGCCAAGCGCAACGCCATCGAAATGGCGAAGATCAGCGCTGCAATCCAACCCAGATTGCCCGCATCCTTGAGCAGCCACAGATAGAGCATCAATGCCGGAACGACACCGAAATTGACAAAGTCGGAAAGGGAGTCCAGCTCTGCACCAAACTTTGACGTCCCCTTCATCATGCGTGCAACACGCCCGTCGAGACCATCCAGGACCGCAGCAACGAGCACCGCACCGACAGCAAATTCCCAGCGATCGTCAAACGCCATTCGGACGGCTGTCAATCCGGAGCAAAGTGCCAGCAATGTCACCATGTTGGGTACGATCAGGCGCATCGGAACACGGCGGAACCGCGGCGTTCGGCGCTCTCGATTTTCCCCGTTTTCTGGACTGTCCGACACCGCTGACCTCAGCTCACGCGAGTCAAAGGTTGCGCCGGCGCCTGAGGGTGAGTCAGATCGGCCAGAACAGTTTCACCCGCGATCATGGTCTGACCGATCGACACTTTCGGCTGTGTGTCTGCGGGGAAATAGACATCAAGTCGCGAACCGAAACGGATCAGTCCGAAACGTTCCCCGGCAGAGATTGACTCACCTTCGCGAACAAAACACACGATCCGGCGCGCAACCAGTCCGGCAATCTGCACGACGCCGATACGGGTGTCGCCCATCTCGATTACCAGCCCGTTACGCTCGTTGTCGTCGCTTGCCTTGTCGAGTTCAGCATTCAAAAACTTGCCTGCGCGATAGGCCACGCGCGAGATCGAGCCTCCCACTGGTGCACGGTTCACATGGCAGTTGAACACATTCATGAAGATGGAAACACGCATCAGCGGCTCAGTGCCGAGTTCCAGTTCTGCAGGCGGGAGGGCGTGTCCGAGAAGGCTGACAACCCCGTCTGCAGGAGAAATCACAAGACCTTCACCAACAGGCGTCACCCTTTTGGGGTCGCGGAAGAAATAGCAGATCCAACCAGTCAACAGGAGGCCGATCCAGAACAGCGGGTCGATAAACCAGCCAACAACCAGCGTTGCGACGAGCGAAATTGCTATGAAAGGCCAGCCTTCCCGGTGAATCGGGACCATGGCTTTGGTGACGGAATCGACTATCGACATCAAGACTTTCCGAATTCAGAACGGGAACGGCTCATTCCCGGACAATTGCTGCCCGAAGTCGCGACGAGCCGACACGCACCCGTTGCGCTTCCTTGTTCCTCAGCTTCTAGAGACTTTTTCGGTCCCTGAGAACAGTTATTTCCCAAACGCGTGACTTATTCACTCACTCGAACGCTTCCAACATCCTGATGCAATTGGGCTTGACCTACCCGGTGCACGACACAGGCACAAATATCGCAGTGAAGGAAAAGGCAATGTTGCCGGAGGTCCTTGGTCTATTCGCCTGTTCGAAACCACAAGCTTCCATGCTCGTTGCGATCGCTCGGAAGGCCTCGTCGACATTGAGGCAACCGGATTCCCTCGGCCGACTGGGCGACAACCGAACAACCGATCGCAAGAACCTTGAGCCTTCGTCTCCTAACCGACTCTCGTTCCAGAGTTCTCTATTTTTCCCGGTATTCAGTTTCCCAATAGGCCGGTCTGCCGTATTTCGAGATCAGAAAATCAACCAGTGCGGTGACTTTGGGTGGAATGAACTTGGCGGGCGGATAGACAGCATAAATGTTGCCGGTGCGGGAAATCGGATAGTTCTCCATTACCGCGACAAGATTACCGTCACGAAGGTCCTCCCAAACATGTGCCAGCGATTTCACGGTCAGGCCAAGCCCGTAGATGGCCGCGTCATAGGCAAAGTCGCCACTATCTCCGGAGATTACCGGATCCTCGAGATGATAACCGATTTCCCCTTCAGGGCCCTCGAAATACCAGACGGGCATCGGATCAAAGCCAACACAGTCGTGGTTGCGCAGATCGTCCGGTGTCTTCGGCGCTCCCTTTCTCGCTATGTATTCGGGACTGGCACACAGCACCCTCGGGTTTCCGCCAAGCTTTCTTGCAATCAGGCTGGAATCCGGCAACGGCGCTCCCCTGATCGCCATATCGTAACCTTCCGCCACCAGGTCCACGATCCGGTCGGTCATGTCGACTTCCAGCCTGAGCTCCGGATAAAGTTGCCTGAATTCAGGAAGATAGGGCAGAATGTGTTTACGGCCGAAGAATACGTTGAGCGACATGCGCAACATTCCGCGGGGCGTATCTTCCGCGGCGTCGATCAGTGCACGGGCGCGATCCATTTCACCCAGTGCGTTGCTGGTATGGCGCAAAAAGACCTGACCGGCCTCGGTCAGTCCCGTGCGCCTGGTTGTGCGGGCAACCAGTTGGGAACCGAGCTCCTTTTCCAGGTTGCTCAGGCGACTGCTGGCAGCTGAGGGAGACAAGCCGAATTCCCGGCCAGCCGCAGACAGGCTGCCGAGTTCGGCCACACGTTTGAAAAATTTCAGATCGTCAAGTCGCATTATTCGAAACTTTCGAAAGATATGTTCCAGATTACCCCAATTCTTCGAAACCTTGCAATATGAGAAAACAGGCTCACGAAACGAAAGGAGCCTGTCATGATGCATACTGGAGACATCTACGAAGAACGTGCCCGGACCGCCCGGCATCGGGAGTTGCGCGCTTTGGCAAGTGCCCTGTCGGGACTTCTCTTTCACGTTATTCCGGGCAGAAAAACCAAAAGGGTTGCCGGGTTCAGTTCCGCGGAACCTGCGAATGACCGGGTCTCGAACCGACGGCATGCCGCCTGATGGGGGCCTGCTCCACCCGGATACCGGATTGCCTGCCCAACCGACTTGTCCAGTCAACCTCACCGGAAGTGACGACACTGGTGCAAATAAACAAAACGTAAGACCATTTTTCTCATTCGGCGCTTGCCTTGAGACCTGCTGCCTGCCAGAAGAGCAGCATTCTCAGGGCGGGGTGGAAGTCCCCACCGGCGGTAAGCAGTGTGCTGCAAGCCCGCGAGCGCCTTCATTCGGAAGGGTCAAGCAGATCAGGTGAGAATCCTGAGCCGACGGTCAAAGTCCGGATGAAAGAGAAACTGCGCTCAGACGGCATTCGCCGTCCGTGTCGTATGTGATCGCCTTGGGTGACGTGTCGCGAACCAGGGAGATCATCAATGACACACACCCGATATGCCTTCATCAAAGCCGGATGGCACTCCGATATCGTCGACCAGGCGCTCGTCGGCTTCCAGCAGGTCATCCCCGCGGACAGCATCGACGTGTTTGACGTGCCTGGTGCGTTCGAGATGCCGCTTGCCGCGAAAAATCTTGCGCAAACTGGAAAGTACGCAGCTATCGCTGCGGCTGCCCTTGTCGTCGACGGTGGCATTTACCGGCATGATTTCGTCGCTCAGGCGGTGGTCAGCGGTTTGATGCAGGCTGGTCTTGAAACAGATGTTCCGGTCCTGTCTGTTTCGCTGACCCCACACCACTTCCAGGAAACGGATCATCACACGAAAATCTACAGGGAACATTTTGTGCTGAAAGGCCGTGAAGCGGCAGAAGCTGCCCTGAAGATCGGTTCGTTCCGTCAGCAGGTCAACGCCTGACGGATCTTCCGGGGGGTGGCCCAGGCCACCCCTTCCCCAACGCCGTTATTTGGCGGGAATATAGTCCGCAGTCTGACCTCTCGTCACGATCCCCAGATCATCGTTTTCGCGAGCGGCCCGTAACCGCTCTTCCGCTTCGTCGGCTTCACGCTGACGCGCCCACATGGATGCGTAGAGACCGTCCTTGTCCAGCAACTCGGTATGCGTGCCGCGTTCGGCAATCCGGCCGGCCTCCAGAACAATGATCTGATCCGCATTGACAACCGTCGACAGGCGGTGCGCGATAACAAGAGTAGTCCGGTTTCGCGCCACCTGATCCAGTGCGGACTGGATTTCGCGCTCCGTGTGCGTGTCGAGCGCAGACGTTGCCTCGTCCAGAATAAGGATCGGCGGCGATTTCAGGATCGTCCGTGCAATCGCGACGCGCTGCTTTTCACCACCGGATAGCTTCAACCCGCGTTCACCGACCTCAGACGCATAACCCTGTGGCAGATTTTCGATGAAGTCGTGGATCTGCGCCATTCGGGCAGCTTCACGAACCTCCTCATCAGTGGCTTCCGGCCGTCCGTAGCGGATGTTGTAGGCGATGGTATCGTTGAAGAGCACCGTGTCCTGCGGCACCATTCCAATGGCATCGCGAACGCTCGCCTGCGTGACGTCTCGCACATCCTGGCCGTCGATTTCCACTGCTCCGTCCGTCACGTCGTAGAACCTAAACAGCAACCGGGAAATGGTCGACTTGCCTGCCCCCGACGGACCGACAATGGCAATCGTCTTTCCGGCCGGCACCTCGAAATTGATGCCCTTCAGGATGTGACGGTCGGCGTCATAGTGAAATTTGACGTCTTTGAAGACAATCTTTCCAGCAACAGCCTTCAGCGGCTCTGCACTCTCCTTGTCCATTATTTCCGCAGGAACCAGCAACAGGTCGAACATGGCTTCTATGTCCGCCAGCCCCTGCCGGATCTCACGATAGAGAAAACCGATGAAATTCAACGGTATGGAGATCTGCATCAAAAGCGCGTTGATCAGGACAAAGTCACCGATATTCTGCTCACCGGTCATCACCGCCTTTGCCGACAGGGCCATACAGGCGGCCATGCCGAAACCGAGTATTACCGTCTGACCCAGGTTGAGCCAGGCAAGTGATGTCCAGGTTTTTGTCGCGGCCGTTTCGTATTTCGCCATCGAGGCGTCGAAGCGCGAAGCTTCCATTTTTTCGTTGCCGAAATACTTGACCGTCTCGAAATTCAGCAGGCTGTCGATTGCCTTGGAATTGGCTTCCGTATCGCTGTCGTTCATCTCCCGGCGAATTTCGATACGCCAGTTCGAACATTTGATGGTGAACCAGACATAGGCAACGATCATCACTGCCACGATCACGACATAGAAGAAACCGAACTGGTACCAGATGACAGCCGCCATGATGGCGAATTCGAATACGGTGGGAACGCCATTCAGGATCGTGAAGCGGACAATCGACTCGATACCCTTGACCCCGCGTTCGATAACCCGGCTGAGACCGCCTGTGCGGCGTGCCAGATGGAATCGCAGGGAAAGTCTGTGCAAGTGCCGGAAAGTCATGATCGCGAGCTGGCGCACGGCATGTTGCCCGACCCTCGCAAAAAGTGCATCGCGCAACTGGTTGAAGGCGACCGCCAGGACACGGGCTGCGTTGTAAGCCAGCACAAGCATGACCGGGGCGACCAGAAAGGAAGGAAGTCCGGCGGTTTCGCCCGTCAATGCGTCGGTTGCCCAGGCAAAGAAATAGGGCGACAGAACCGTAATGAACTTTGCGATGATCAGGGCGAAAACAGCAAGCAGAACACGACGTTTGAGATCCGGACGATCGGAAGGCCAGATATACGGCCAGAGATTGGAAAGTGTCTCAAACGTGCTCCCCTCGTCCGCGCTGACGACCTTTTGAGAATGGGAGCTTTGGCTGCCTGCAGCCGCATCGGCAGAGCCTTGCGGTGAGGTGGCTGATTGATCGGTCAAACGTTATCTCCAGGACCGCGAACGGCAGTCCATTTCTTCAGTCTTTTTTGAGTGTCACCGGCACGGCAGCGTCAGAGGGCAACGGTTTCAGAGAATTGAGATCCTGCCAGAATTCCTTCGAGCAATGCTCCGCCCGCTTCAGTTTCTCGCGGTTCAAGAGATAGTGGCAATTTCGGCCCCGGGCATCGCAGATCAACAGTCCGGCATCCTTGAGTACCTGCAGGTGCTGTGAGACGGTCGACTGAGCCAGGGGAAGATGATTTACGATCTCGCCGCAGCAAGCCTCTTCCTGCGTGGCCAGCTGCTTGATGATTGCAATGCGCGCCGGATGGCCGAGCGCACGAAAGATTGCGGCGAGCTCCTCACAATTCGACAGGCACTTCCTGTTGTCGTTTGTCGACGGACATTCCGTCTCGCTCATCGGCCTGCTCCCACGCTCACGCGTTCGTGTCTTATCGTAGATATGCGATGAATGGATCAAAAAACAAGGGGCTAAAGGAGATCGGCAGGAAACCCGTCAGGGCTCCCCGCCATTTCAACTTCATCGCCCAGACTGCGGCCTAGCCTCTGTTGGCGTTGCCACTGCTCCTGTCCGGCCAGTTCAGATCGCCTTCAGGGGTCAGGAACACCTGCCCGGGATAGATCAGGTCGGGATCTCTTATCTGGTCCTGGTTCGCCTGGTAGATCGTCGTATAACGAACACCATCACCATAGAGCCGCCGCGAAATGCGCCACAGGTTGTCGCCTTTGCGGATTATGACGACTGGAAGAGACTTCTGGACGTCCGCGCCCTGGCTCCCCTGCCCGCTGCCTGCACCGGTGGCCACGACCTTGGTCAGAACAATCTGCTTGTCCTGTTCCTTTTCGAAGGTCACGGCTGCCCGCGCATCCACAGTGTTTCCGTCTTTTGCAATCAGGTCGGCCCTGACTTCCACATTCCCTTCGGCAACATTCTTGGTGCCCTCGACCAGCCATTTGCCGCTGGAATTGACTTTCGCTTCTCCCTGAAAGTCTTCGCCAACATAGACACGAACCGAGGACCCCGGCTTGCCGGTTCCCGCGATGTAGACCTTGTCCGGTTCTGATTCGACCGCTTCAACCGTTACATCCGGAGATGATGCAGGTTGCTGCGAGCCGGTGACGGTGTCAGCAGATGCCGTGCTGGACGACGGTTGCTGAACAGTCCCGCTCCCTACTCCAGCGTCTGTTTCGGTCCGGGTCTGAGCGCTGCCAGCACTCGCAGTTACCGATGTACCTTCCGCTTCCGGCTTTGGTTGCGGGGTGCCGGCAGGATTCGAAGCCTGCGCCCCGCCCTGACCTTCTGCATTTTCCGGTGCTGTTGTCACCGCCTGCCCCGTGCCCGTTGCAGATGCCTGCTCCCGGCCGGGTACATTCTCATCAGCCGCCGCGGCCTGGCCTTCGTTCAAGACAGCAACGTCGGTTCCTTCGGCGGTGTCGGAAGAATTCCGAGGCGTCGCAGGTTGCTCTTCGGCTGCCACCTCAACAGATGGTGCCTGTGCGCCAGATCCTGCCTCGACGCTTCCCGCGGTTTGGCCATCGGCACCACCTTCCGATTGAACAGGCTGCCGCTCGGCAGGCTGTGAAGACCGGGATTCGCCGGTATTGTCCTCCACGGCAGTCTTGGGCAAGGCAGCGATAACGGTATCGTCACCGTCTGCAGAGCGCTTGCTTGTCGTGGCTGTCGCGGACTGGTTTGCAACAGCTTGTGTTTGTGAGGTTGCGTCAGCATCAGCAACCTGTATTTCCGTCTTCGGTTTTTGCAGAATATCAGACGGCCCCTCGGAATCGTTGAGCACGACCAGTGGCTTTTCCTGGCCGTCTTCAGGGACAGATACGGCAAGCCGCTGACCTGACTCCTCGATGGCATCGCCTTTTTCATCATGGACTTCCAGCCCGACGTCATAGTCGCCTGGCTTCAGCGGTTCCTCAAGAATGATTGTCCACTCACCCGCCTCATTGGCGATACTCTTGCCGACAACCTCGCCATTGGCAGTCAAAGCGACGATGGCACCCGCGTCGGAACGTCCCGCCACGACGGTTTCACCAGTCGGCTCGACCCCGACAACATCAAAACTGGGGCCTTCAACCGGCGCCTGCTCAGTCGCCTGGGGTGTGTCTGTTTGCGCGGAAGTTTCCTGCTCCTGCTGGCTGTCGCCAGTCTCAACGCCGATCGGTACGGACGTTGTCTGCTTTTCGACCTTGCCGGTCTTGTCTTCTCCCACTGCGGGTGCAGAAGCGGCTTCAACAGCTTCCTGAGCGGGCGGTAGAAGGGATCCCCGGTAAAAATATGCCGCTGCCAGCGCTGCCACGCCTACCGGCACTGCCACGATCAAAGTCCGGAACATTGTCTGCTTGTTCATTTTTTTCCCGTCAGAAGGCTTGCGAGCGACCCGGTCCATTACGCGGTCAGCTGCAGCATCTGCCCCTGTCACATATTCTTAGTCGCCCATCCATAGCCCCCTTTTGAGAGCACGGCAAGAAATCCGGCTTGAATCCCAAGGGACTTAAAACAGAATGCTTGACCTCATGGCAGTCTGAATGCCACATCTTTGCGTCATGAATACGGTTTCTCAAAATCAACTTACAAGCGTTTGTGTTTACTGCGGCTCCAGCTTTGGCTCGGACCCGGCCCACGAAGCGGCGGCCACACGGCTGGGCCAGATCATCGCGGAGGCGGGTCTGCGTCTTGTTTACGGCGGCGGATCGGTCGGCCTGATGGGCACTGTCGCCAACGCCGCGCTGGAGTCGGGCGGCAAGGTTACAGGCATCATTCCCCGCTTCCTGGAAAAACGGGAAGTCATGCTGGATTCTCTTGAAGATCTTGTCATCACGAACGACATGCACGAACGCAAGCATCTGATGTTTGAAAGGGCTGACGCCTTTATCGCGCTTCCCGGAGGAATAGGCACTCTGGAAGAAGCGGTCGAAATGATGACATGGGCCCAGCTGGGTCAGCACAAGAAACCTGTCCTGCTCGCCAATATCAACGGGTTCTGGTCACCTTTGCTGGAATTGCTCGACCACATGCGGGCGCAGGGATACATTCGGCCGGACACCGAAGTCCCCTATCTTGTGGCGAAGAAGATCGAAGATATTCTTCCCATGCTGCAGCAATCGGTTTCCGATGGGAAAACCGAGCAAGCAGGAAACTTCGCGAAGGTAACGGAACTCTGAGTTTCCAATCGAAGAAAAAGATCATCTACAAGGCACCACCCGGCCGCAGCAAAATTCTGTTTCGAAAAGCAGGTCTTGCAGCAATTGCTGCCTGGCAATCAGAGACCCCGCCACTGGGGTTGCGCGTTCGACCAAAAGCCACCGCCTACGGACCATTCCATGCAAACTACTCTCCTGGTTGAAGATGCATCGTTTTTTGAAAAGGCGATCGTCAAGAAATTGCATGATGTCGGCCGGCACCAGATCATGGTGGCGCGTAGCTACGCCGAGGCGGAAAACTGCCTGAATTTGCCCATTGGTGAACCTGATCTGGCGCTTGTGGACCTGACGCTTCCGGATGCGCCGGACGGTGAAATCGTGGATCTATGTGAAAAGCGAAACATCCCGACGATCGTTTTTACAAGCAGGTTTGACCCGAAGACGCGCAGCAAGATGCTGCAAAAGGGCGTAATCGACTACGTCTTGAAGGATTCTCCAGGCAGCTTGAACTACGTTGCAGACCTGATCCGGCGATTGGCAAAAAACCCGAAAATCGGCATCCTGGTACTGGATGATGCAGGTGTCGAGCGCGAAGCCATTTCGCGGATCGTCATGAAGCACTTGTACAAGGTCTACAAGGCAGCAAGCACCGACGAGGCACTCAAATGCCTGAGTGAAAACAGCGACATCAAGCTGGTGCTTGCCGACTACTTCCTGCCCGGAAAGGATGGCTTTGCCTTTTTGAAAGCCGTCCGCAGATCCCAAAGCGCCGAGCAGGTTGGCATCATCGGCATGTCGGCGGTCACCAACTCGGACAACCGGGTCCGCTTTCTGAAATACGGCGCCGCAGACTTCGTCGACAAACACTGTTCACCCGAAGAGCTGTTGCTCCGGATCTCTCAAAACCTCGACTACATCTACCGCATTGAAGAGCTGAACAACCTTGCAATGCGCGATTCCCTGACAGGGCTCTATAACCGGCGTTACTTGCTGGCAGAGGTTGCGGGCGAAATCAAATCCTGGTCTGGCGCGGATGACGACCGCAACTGGCTTGCACTGTTCGATCTCGATGGCTTCAAAGGTGTAAACGACAATCACGGACATGATTTTGGTGACGCCGTCTTAACGCGTTTTGCAGGAAACCTGACCAGTCTTTCAAAAGAGAACGATATTGTTGCGCGTCTGGGCGGTGACGAATTTTGTGTGGTGCTGCGCGACCAGTCGGAAAGCGAGATGCGAGAACGCTTGTCGGCATTTCTCAATGACGTTGAGAAATCTCCTATCGAGCACAGGGGCCTGTCGATCAACATCAGAACGAGTATCGGCGTTGCGCCTTTGCTGGACGGCGATCTCCATGAAGCTCTCAAGGCCGCGGATCTGAGGCTCTACTCGGCAAAGCGCACAGGGCCCGGTCAACTGGTGACAACGGGGTGAGCCCGCGCGATTCTTGTCTCACGACGCAGCGCGATTGCGATTCCAGCTGTCAAATGTGAAGATCACCAGCGCTCCCCAGATCATCGCAAATGTCAGAAGCCGGGTCGGGTCAAGCGGCTCGTCCCAGATATAGACCGCCATCAGAAAATGCATGGACGGTGCGATATACTGCATGAGCCCCAGCATGAAGAGCGGTAGCCTGCGGGCGGCAGCCGAAAAGCAGACCAGCGGCAGGGCCGTCACGATCCCGGTTCCAACAAGCGCGGCCAGAACGGGAAGATCGTCCAGTACAAGCGCGTCGGCTCCCCAACCGAGACTGAGCACCAGAAAACCTGCCGCAAATGGAAATAGAAGCAGGGTCTCAACGAGCATGCCCGGCGTGGCATTCACCGGTGTAACTTTGCGGACATATCCGTATCCGGCGAATGAAAAGGCAAGGATCAACGAGACCCACGGGACACCTCCCGCCAAAACCGCCTGTACCAGAACGGCCATTGCGGCAATGAAAACTGCTGCTTTCTGGCCGCGGGACAGGCGTTCGTGAAGTACAATCAGTCCGACCAGAATACTCACCAGCGGGTTGATGAAGTAACCAAGCGAAACATCAAGCACCCGCTCCTGCTCAATCGCCCAGACAAACACCAGCCAGTTCACACCAATGAATGCGGCCGAAGTCATCAGTCCCTTGAGAACCTTCGGCTGGCGAAAGGCCTCGACAACTTCTTGCCAGCGGCCACGAAAGTAGAGGAAGAGGCCGACGAACAGCACCGACCACACGATGCGGTGCGACACGACGATATCTGCCGGAACGGAATCCGTGAGTTTGTAATACGCCGGAAAGAAACCCCACATGCAGTAGGCGGAAAGGCCATAATACAGCCCCTGGCGCAGTTGTGCGCTGGTTTCGGCTTCCGAAACCGGATGGGACATCTGTTCTGCCTTTCTGGCGCGCCTCAGGCCAAGTCGGCTTTCAGCAGTGCAAATGTGATGGAATCGACCAATGCCTGGAACGAGGCATCGACAATATTTGGAGAAACACCGATCGTGAACCAGCGACGCTGTGTCTTTGTGTCGTGGCTTTCAATCAGCACGCGCGTGACAGCACCTGTACCTCCATTCAGGATTCGAACCTTATAGTCAATCAGTTCCAGACCCTCAATTGCTGTCTGGTACTTTCCGAGATCCTTTCGAAGTGCCATGTCGAGCGCATTCACCGGTCCGTTCCCCTCCGCGACCGACATGCGTGTCTCGCCATCGATATCAACCTTCACAACCGCCTCGGAAACCGTGATGAGATCGCCGATCGCGTTAAAGCGGCGCTCAACCATCACCTTGAAGGAATTGACGTCGAAGTAGCGCGGCACCTCTCCAAGTTCCCGCCGCGCCAGTAATTCAAACGACGCATCGGCAGCCTCATAAGCATAACCTTCCGCCTCTCTTTCCTTCACGAGTGCCAGCAGGCGGTCGAGATTCGGATCGGACTTGTCGACTTCAATGCCGACCCGGGCAAGTTCGCCCATCAGATTGCTTTTGCCTGCCTGATCGGACACGAGAACCCTGCGCTGGTTACCGACAACCTCCGGTGCAACATGTTCATAGGTCTTGGGATCCTTCAGGATCGCCGAGGCGTGAATTCCTGCCTTGGTCGCAAAAGCCGTTTCACCGACATAGGGAGCCTGGCGGTCCGGAGAACGGTTCAGGATCTCGTCGAATGCATGCGATATCGACGTGACATCCTTGAGTTGCTCCTCGCTTACGCCGATCTCAAAACGGCTTGAAAAGGCGTTTTTGAGCTTCAATGTCGGAATCAGCGTGATCAGGTTGGCATTGCCGCATCGCTCACCAAGTCCATTGAGCGTTCCCTGGATCTGTCGCACGCCTGCATCCACCGCGGCCAGCGAATTGGCGACCGCATGGCCGGTGTCGTCATGGGTGTGAATGCCAAGATGCGCACCCGGCACGACCTCCTGAACCCTGGTGACGATGTGATAGATCTCATCGGGCAGCGTTCCGCCGTTGGTGTCGCACAGGACCACCCAACGCGCTCCCGCCTGATACGCGGTCCGGGCACAATCCAGGGCGTAATCCGGATTGGCCTTGAAGCCGTCGAAAAAATGTTCGCAGTCGATCAGCGCTTCCTTGCCGGCCGCAATCGTGGCAGACACGGTGTCATGGATCGAATCGAGATTTTCCTCGTTGGTACAGCCCAGTGCAATCTCGACATGATAGTCCCACGCCTTGGCAACAAAACAACAGGCATCGGACCGGCTGGCAAGAACCTGTTGCAGACCAGGGTCATTGGACGCTGACCTCCCCACCCGCTTGGTCATGCCGAATGCGGTGAAAAGCGCCTGTTTGGTCCGTTTTTCGCCGAAAAATTCCGTGTCACCCGGATTGGCACCCGGGTATCCGCCTTCGATGTAATCAACGCCCAGCCGTTCCAGCAGTTCCGTAATGACAATCTTCTCGTTTACGGAAAAATCGATGCCGCTTGTCTGTGCACCGTCTCGAAGCGTGGTGTCGAAAAGATAGAGGCGTTCCTTGGTCATTTGGCGTTTCCTACCTGGCAACTGGCCGGGACTTTTGTTCTCATGTTGTGACGATTTACGCAGGTGGCCAATCGTCCGTATCGTGATCCGGGTGCTGATTGGAAATGATGGATTTCAGAAATACCGCCGCATCGCTGTCTTCTTCAGTGCGCCTTTCCGGTATTTCGGGCATCCGGTCGGCATAGGGCAGTTTCCCCTCGACACCGTACTGGACCACCGGAACGATCTCGTGCGGATGATCGAAGGCACCAATGGCGATGCCGATATCACCCGGAGCCTCATAAGTGAGCGGTGTTCCACACCTGGCACAGAACCCGCGAGCAACGTGGTTCGAGCTCTGAAAACGTGTCGGTTCACCTCTGGTCCAGACGAGCTCTGCACCATCATGAAGACCAACGAGGGGAGCATACAATGACCCAAAGGCCTTCTGACACATCCGGCAATGACAGATCGAGGCGGTTCCCAGTTGCCCATCAACCCGAAACCGCACTGCCCCGCACTGGCAGCCGCCGGCATGCCCGCTTGCAGGTTTGCCCACGGTCATCGCTTTAGCTCCCAGGTCGTGAGGCGTTCGCCGGTTTCTGAGTCTTTGGAATCCTTTAGAAGAATTCCTTGAGATGCCAGTTCAGCCCGGATGCTGTCCGCCTCTGTCCAGTCTTTCGTCTTCAATGCTTCGAGACGGCGGGTCACGGCGGCCTCGACTGCGGTCTCGTCGACACCCGACATATCCGCTTCGACCGGCGCAAGCCCCATCAGGTTGGCGGTCGCAGAATAGGTCGCAAGTCCCGACGGGTCCTTGCCGGCTTCAACCGCCAATGCGTGCAATGCCTGAATAACCCCGGCCGTATTCATGTCGTCGGCGAGCATTTTGACAACATCGGCATCCGGGGCCGCGGTCGTCTCGACAAGCTTCGGCCATTTCGACAGAAGGTTCTCTGCTTCTTCCAGTTTGCGCACGGAAAAGTCGATCGGCTCGCGGTAATTTGTCATCAACATTGCCAGACGCAGCACCTCACCGGGCCACTTCCGACCACCGAAGTTTTCTGTTTCCAGCAGCTCCTGGATGGTGAAGAAATTGCCCTCGGACTTGGACATCTTCTTGCCTTCAACCTGCAGGAAGCCGTTGTGAAGCCAGTAGTTTGCCATGGTCCGTGTACCATGGGCACAGCGTGACTGGGCAATCTCGTTTTCATGATGCGGGAAGATCAGATCGAGCCCGCCGCCGTGAATATCGAAGACCTGTCCGAGGTGATGCTCACTCATGACGGAGCACTCGATATGCCAGCCTGGCCGCCCCCTTCCCCAGGGGCTTTCCCAACCCGGTTCCTCGTCCGATGACAATTTCCAGAGCACGAAATCGCCAGGGCTTTTCTTGTGCCTGTCGACAGCAACGCGGGCTCCGGCCTTCTGCTCATCGAGTTTGCGTTTCGACAGTCCCCCGTAATCCGGCATCGACGCGGTATCGAACAGCACTTCGCCGCCCGCCTGGTAGGCGTGCCCTTTTTCAATCAGTTGCCCGATCATCTTGACCATACCGTCAATATGCTGGGTAGCACGTGGTTCGTGATCAGGCTGCAGAACGCCAAGCGCCCTGATATCCTTGTGGAACTGGTCCGCGGTTCTTTGAGTTACCTTTGCGATTGCATCATTCAAGGGCAGGTCAGGATGATCCCGCAACGCCCTCGCGTTGATCTTGTCGTCGACGTCCGTGATGTTGCGCGCATAGGTCACATGGCCTGGGCCGTAAACATGGCGCAGCAACCGATAGAGTACGTCGAAGACGATGACCGGCCGTGCGTTTCCGATATGCGCGAAGTCATAGACCGTCGGTCCGCAGACATAAAGGCGTACGTTCTCATCATCGATGGCCCGGAAGTCTTCCTTTTCCCGGGTCAACGTATTGGTGAACTTCAAGCCCTTGCTCGTGCCGGATCTCAGTGTCTCAGCGGCGCTCATGTCAAACGGTCTCCTGGCCGGCTGACCGGGCGATCCGTCTCAGGGAAAATCATGCCAAGAGGGAACGGCCACAGCCAGCGGTGTCGCTAGCTGCAAATAATGGTGATCGAAATGATGTTCCGTGTGGCCGTCATCATGGCCGCTTTATGGACCGGAACCGCAAACGCGGTCAAGGCTGCATTTGTTCCCCGGTTTCGACAAGGCCACGGTGTGGCGTTGGCGCCTCAGGTCACATCGACTACACTCAATCTGCCGGGAATCAGAGGGGGTTCATATGGTCTTGATGCATTCCGTTCGTCGTCTTTCTGCCAGGTTCGGGTTGGCAGGTGCTTTCGCCTTTTTCGTTTTCACAACGCCTGCAGCGGTTTTGGCTCAAACGGCAGCGAGCCAGACAGACGCGCCACCAGGAGCAGACCTTGCAGCGACGGAGCCGCAAACTCCGATCGCGATCGCCATCCAGAATGCGATGCCGGCTGATCTCCCGACCGGCCTGCAGCAGTATTACGAACATCGTGTCTTTGCACCGGTCTGGTTCGACCGGACAGGTGTCAAAGAGGACGCGCACCTGGCAATTGCCGCAATGGCCGGTGCAAATGAACATGCGCTCAATCCCAATAACTACAGCCCGCTTGAACTGGCCCAGCAGATCGAAACAGCAAAAACGCCCGAGGAATGGGCCCGGTTCGACCTTGAACTTTCGCGTCAGTTCCTGCGCTACGCAACGCATCTGTCGTCAGGGCGTGTGCAGCCGAACAAAATCAACAAGGCCCTGAACCTCTTCCCCGACCGACCGGAGCCGAAATCGTTTTTCGAAAACGCGGAGCAGGCTGTCGATTTCAGCGCGTTCCTCGACAGCCTTCCGCCCCAGTCCGACAACTACGCCAGGCTGAAACGCAGGCTCGCGCAGTACAGGGAAAAGGCGGAGGCTGGCGGTTTCACATCCGTACCGGACGGCGACGTCCTGAAACCCGGAATGACGGACGCCAGGATCCCGTTCCTGCGCGAGCGACTGATCGAAGAAGATATTCAGATCGCCTCCAACCATTCGGGAGACATCTATGATGGAGACCTGGTTGAGGCGGTAATGACCTTCCAGGACCACCACGGACTGGCGACCGATGGTGTCATCGGCAAAAACACGCTTGCCCGCCTGAATGTTCCAATTCAGGATAAGCTCATCCAGATGGAACTCAACATGGAACGCCGACGCTGGATGCGGGACGATCTCGGTGATTTCTATGTTTTCGTCAATCTTGCCGACCAGAACCTCAAGGTCGTTCGCGACGGCAAGACGGTCCATACAACGCGTGTTGTTGTCGGAAAGCCCTATCATGCAACGCCGGTTTTTTCAGACCAACTGGAATATGTGGAAATCAACCCGTTCTGGAACGTGCCCTATTCAATCGCGACCAAGGAATACCTCCCAAAACTGAAACAGAATCCGTCCGCGCTCAGCAGCAAGAAAATCCGGGTTTTCCAGGATGGCAGTGAAATCGCCCCCACACGGGTCGCCTGGAACAGCTATTCGGGAGGTAATTTTCCCTTCCGACTGCGCCAGGACCCGGGTGACGGCAATGCACTCGGCCGGATCAAGTTCATGTTCCCGAACGAATTCAACATCTACATTCACGACACTCCGTCCAAATCGCTGTTCTCACGCGCGGAACGTGCCTATAGCCACGGCTGCATCCGCGCATCGAACCCGTTCGCACTGGCAGACATTCTTCTGGCTGACAACAATTCAACGGCTGGCCACTGGGAACAGATCCGCGACAGCGGTAAACGCACCGTCATAAAGCCCCGTGTACCGGTCGAAGTTCACCTGACCTATCTGACCGCCTGGATGAACAAGGACGGATCAACGCATTTCCGGAAAGATATCTACGACAGGGACGATGTGCTTCTGAAAGCCCTTCGCAGAGCGATGACAGACAATTTGTAAGAACATAAAGCTTTGTAATTTATAAGCTTTCAGAACCGTTAAGTAATCTGAACGGACGCTGAATACGACACTCAGGATGGGTTCAATCCGGTCCACATACTCTCCGGACAGTCGCTAAAGATTGTCATCAGGAGACACCCATGTTGAACCGCCTTTTTGTCGTCCTTTTTCTAGCCCTTATTCTCGGTGGTCCGTTTGCCGCGATCATTGCGATCACAGACGGTACCAAGGCTTTCGGCAGCGAAATGCAGCAGAAAAGCATGTGTCTCGTGACCGGCACGGGGTGCGGCAATGGAAACATCATTGTCACAGTGGCGGGCCGGTTATAAAAGAACTTGCAAATTTCAAGATGAGACCTGCTCACAATCTTGAAGTTTTCCCCGGTGTTTGGCAGAGTTGGATTATGGACTATAAATCTCTTGAAGATAAAGCAGAATCCGCGGCTGACTTTTTAAAGATGATGGCGTCAGCACCGCGTCTGCTCTTGATGTGCCTTGTCCTGGAAGAAGAACGCTGCGTAAGTGAACTTGCCGAGGTAACCGGCATGCGCATGCCGACCGTTTCTCAGCAGCTTGCCTTGCTGCGCGCCCAGGGGCTCGTGTCGACCCGTCGCGAAGGAACGACCATCTATTATCGCTTGGCCAGCGAGCCCGTGAAAGACGTTATGGCCATGCTTTACAAGCATTTCTGTGCCGATGCGGAGATCCCGGTCGCAAAGCACCTGGAAAAGCTCGACGCAGGCTAGTCAACGCACGCCGAGATCTTTTCAAATCAGTTCAGATCAGTCCGTCACGTAGTCACCGCACTTTGGCGGCTCCTTGTCGCCCCAGGGCATGAGCGGAACGGTCGACGTTGAATTCTTCGGACTGCCCTCAATCAACTTGTCCGAATAAACCAGATAAACCAGCACATTCCGCTTGGCATCACATCCACGCACGATGCGCATTTTTTTGAACACGAGCGAGCGACGCTGGCGGAACATTTCCTCGCCCTGCTCGAACTCTTCCTTGATTGTCACCGGACCGACCTGACGACAGGCCAGAGAAACGTCAGAAACCTCCTCCGCGACACCGAGCCATCCGGAAACACCGCCCTTTTCCGGGACGGTAAAGTGACAGGAAACACCCTCCACAAGCGGATCGTCGATCGCGTAGGTTGCCAGCTTGTGATCGGGCGTGAGAAGTTTCCAAACGGTAGATTTTTTGAAAATCAGGTCGGGCTCGTCAGCCGACAACGCTGTGCCAGCTCCTAGAACGCAAGCGGCCAGCGCAAGTGCTGCGGCATTGAGAAAACGCATCAAAGAACCTCCAAGTGCTGAATTTCCTGACATGTGGGGATCGCGCCCGGTTGATCAAGCAACCTGAGGACTTCTGCACAAACAAAACGCGCGCCGTTCGGCGCGCGCAATTCGCAAAGCTGCTCCCGGACATGATCCGTCGCTGTTGTTCGGGCTACCGGACACCTTCCAGCAGTACTTTAGGCTCTTCAAATTCACCTTGATCTGTCAGCGTGTTCTCGAAATCCTGGTCTTCGTCTGCAGTTTCGACAATATCGTCCGCCGACAAATCGAGGATTTCTTCGTCGCCGGGTTCCTCTGCCCCCGGGCCGTCCAACAATGAGGCCGCAAAATCATTGTCGGAAACGAGTTCGCTTACATCCGTTTCGCTCTCAACGACTTCCTCGACCGGCTGCGGACTGATCTCGGCAACGCTCCGTGATGTCTCGACAAAACCTCCAAGGGCGTCCTGAAGATCGGCGCAGCGTTCGCGTGACCAGATTTGCGGCTGATCGAGGCCCAGGGCTTCGTCATAGGCGCGCGCGACATTGAACGGCAGGGACAATTCAAAATCAGCTCTGGATCCGAATTGCGGTTCCAGCGTGTCCTTGACGGCGGCAAACGTGTCCTTGATGCCCAGGCTTTGCTCAACGCATGCAGATGCCGCGTCCCGCAGTGTTGTTACGAAGTCGCGCGTGTTTTCGATTGCCTGAGCTACAGCCGCCACGTCTTTTGCCGACCGACCGCGACCTGGCATGAGCGACGTTGGCCGGAAGGCCATGATCCTGTCGAGCGCTCTCGGCCAATCGGCAAGATGCGCGTCGCCGCAATATGGTGCAGCGTTGGATTGAACGAGATCGCCTGCATAAAGCACACCTGTTTTCGGTACCCAAACGACAAGATCTCCCATCGTATGGCCACGCCCCAGATGCATCACCCGTACATCGAGCCTTCCGAGATCAATCGACATGGACGACGCGACGGTCATGCTCGGCAGGCTGACTGTCATGCCAGCAGGCAACGTGGAAAACAGGGTGGGTTGCCGATCCAGCGATACCAGGATCTCCTCTGCGCCGCGGGTGTCCATCATGCGCCGGGTCAAGTCGGATGCCACTATTTCGCCGGCTTCAAATGCACTTGCGCCAAGCGTGCTGTCGGCATGAAAGTGGGTCAGCAAAACCTGTTTTACGGGTTTGTCCGTTATGTCTCTGATTTTCTGAAGAACGATTGCAGCAAGGTCGGGTGTCGCCTGGGCATCGACGATCAGGACACCCCGCTCACCGATGATCACACCGGTATTGGAACATCCGTCAGCGCTGAAAGCATAACAACCGCGACCAAGTTCCTCGAGCCTCGCATTTGCTCCGGGGACGACCTCGGCGTTGTTGGAATCGCTTGTCATTGCGGCCTCGCTTTCATGCCAGCTATCTGTTTGACTTCCAGGACCATTCGACTTGCCATACACCAACTTCCTGTTGACCCTAGCGTCTCAGTTTCCATCTCTGATTCGCAATTTTTCACGCACCAAATCCTTGAATATTGCCTCGTTATCAACAGATAGGTCCGCAATTTACATCACTTCACGACTTCAAAGGCTCAAGCTCTCTGTCAAAATTGCTTTCTCTTCCCGCACGTTTACGAAGTAGCTGTCACTGTCTTTCGCGAACACTTCGAATGGCTATACTTGCCAGAGCTTTTTTTGAGAACACGGATTCACTTGATGAAACCAATTCGGCTGATTTCCGAGGCGCGAAGCGCTTCACGATGCAGGGTATCTGGCAAGCACCACAACGACAGAGAAGGGCTGAATTGTCCCACCAGAGGCCCGGTAGTCACGCCTGCGGACATCGTTGTGCCCTGCTTGCGGTCAACAGCATCGCTGCACTCCCCGCACCCAACCGGCAATCCGGAAAACCGGGTCGAGCAGCTCCGTATTCACTAAAAAGGCTCTAGTGATACAAAATGGCCGGAAAACGGCATTCGTTGCCGCCAATACGTTTTGGCGGAAGGACGTCCTGAAGGCAGCAAAACCTCATGTCAGAAAACGACACACCAACTAATGTATCGGAATCCAGCGAAACCAAGGACAGACCAGTCCTGAAGCTGAACTGCTTCCTGCCGTATCAGCTCAGTCATCTCGCAGAGACGGTAAGCCGGTCATTTTCAAAGATCTACGCTGAAAAATATGGCATCGGCATCCCCGAATGGCGGGTGATAGCAACGCTTGGCGAATTTGAAGTCGTCACGGCGCGCGATGTCAGCTCCTCGACCTCGATGCACAAGACAAAGGTTAGCCGCGCGGTTGCAGCGCTGGAAAAGCGCGGATTTGTGGCACGGGACAAAAACCCTGACGACATGCGTGAACAAACCCTCAGGCTGACGGAGACGGGTATCGCCGTCTACGAGGATATCATTCCAAAGGCCCTGGCTTATTCGGAAGGGCTGCAAGCTGCTCTTACCCCTGGACAGCAAGAGTTGCTGAACGAGATTTTCAACCGGCTGCATCAAGCCGCTCGCGAGCGCGATATCAAATAGGCAATTCTCCGCGATGCCCCGACGCATTAACCGAACGTGAGAGCTTTCGTTGCTATTGTGGGATGCAAGAGGGATACTTGACCGACCGTTGTTGACGGTTCGGCGCGGGGACAGCGTTGCAGGGGATGAGCGATGAGGCTTCGAAAAAAAGCCAAGTCAGTCATATTTTCTCAAGCCTTTTGCTTGGTTGCAGCAATTGTGCTGCCGATTGACGCTGCCTATTCGGCAAGCTGCTCCGCATTGAAATCCGAATTGCGAAAACTGGAATCGGCTTCCGGATCCCAAACGCCGGCTGCTCGAAAGTGGTCCTCCGCCAAAAGGCAACAGCAAAAAGCTATTACGGCTGCAACACGCGATGCGCGGCATTTCGGTTGCTCAAATACAAATTCGGCAAAGTGCAGAGATCTCAACGGCAAGATCAAACGCATGAATTCAAATCTGGCCGCGATCGAACGACAATTGGCGAGATCGGGTGGCACATCCTCAAAGAATACGAGAAAAGTGCGGCAGGTTCGAGCAGCGCTTGAGAAACAAAACTGCAATGCCCCGGCCAGATCACGTCAGGCAAGGGTGGAAAAGCCGGTGAACGGCGAAAAGCAGAAGTCGTTTTTCGCCCGTCTGTTCAATTCCGAGCCCAGGGTCGAAGAGGTGGCAGCCAAGACCGGTGACCGGGAAATCGCGTCCGTCAGATCCACGCGCAACACCGGTGCGAGCCCGTTGCGGCTGCCAGCCGGAGGGGCGTTCCGGACACTTTGCGTGCGCACCTGCGACGGATATTATTTTCCCGTCAGCTTTTCGACCGGGAGAAGCCAGTTCGCAAATGACGAGGCACGCTGTTCGGAAATATGCCCGGCGGCTCCAACCGAACTTTATGTTTATCGCAACCCAGGCGGCGACCAGTCCGAGATGATGTCTCTGGCCGGAGTTCCTTATGCCGATCAACCGTTCGCGTTTCGCTACAAGGCCGAATTCGTCGAAGGCTGCAGCTGCCGCCTCTCAAAGAAATCGAAAAACCGGTCTGCATGGTCTGAAGTAGGCACGTCATCGGAAAACCGGGTCTTCTTTTCCGATATCAGCAGCGGGCTTCCGCAACGCGACCGGCAGCCGGCATCGGGCACCACCTTTGAAGAGGCAACACCGGCTGCCTCACCGCTCTCAAGACTGCCGCTCAACAAGACCCAGTTGCCGCCCTATGAAGACCCTGGCACCCTTTTCAACATTGAAAAAGGGTTCGATGTGACGGCTGTCCTGGCATTGGACCAGAACTCCTCCGGAGCCGTCACCGACAATTCGACGTCGGACAATGTATTGCAGGATGGCTTCCCCCTGCTTTCGCTTCGCACGCAGACGGAAGAGGGATCGGTTGAAACCGTTGCAGCTTCGCCGGTCTTCAAGACTGACGATCCGGGATTCCGGCCGGCTCCGGAACGTTCCTCCCCGGTCAGGGTAGTCGGTCCAGAATATTTCGTCGCCCAATAAGGGGCAGCATCGCCTTCATATCCGGTCCATGATCCATTCCGGTGAGCACCCGCCGGAGCGGCATGAAGAGACCGCGCCCCTTGCGTCCCGTTTCCGATTTCAGTGCCGACGTCCACGCACTCCACGTTTCGGGCGTTATCTCCCCATCCGGAAGGAAATTGCGAGCTTTGGCGACAAATTCACGGTCTTCGTCTTCGATCCGCGAAACGACAGGCCCCGTCACGATCTGCCAGAAATCCGCAGCATCGTTTACCGTTTCGCAGTTACCGCGGACCGTTTCCCAAAAATCCGCGCCTGCTTCGATGCCCAGGGCGGCCAGTCGATCGCTAACAGCTTCATAGGGCAACTCATGAACCAGGCGAGCGTTCAGGTTCTTGAGTTCCTCGGGATCAAACTTCGCAGACGATCTCGATATGCTCGCAAGATCGAATTTTCCGATCAGCGCATCCATGTCCTGCACAGGTTCGACGGCCTGACTTGTGCCTGTCAGAACGGCGAGCGAGGCAACGGACATCGGCTCCAGACCTGCTTCGCGAAGCGATCCGATTGACAAGGCGCCCTTGCGTTTGGAGAGCCCTTCTCCATCTCGAGTGGTTAGAAGATTGTGGTGACCGAATATCGGGGCAGCAGCGCCCAGCGCTTCGAAGATGGCGATTTGCACGCCGGTGTTTGCCACGTGATCTTCACCACGGATGACATGGGTGATCCCCATGTCGATGTCGTCGACGATCGACGGCAGAGTATACAGATAGGTTCCATCCGCCCGTATCAGGACCGGATCGGACATTGAAGACAGATCAACGGACTGCTCTCCCCGGCAAAGATCGTTCCAGGTGACATCGGTGCGCTTCGTCTCAAACGGATCCGCGTCGTGATTGGGCAGAATGAAGCGCCAGTGCGGCCTACGGCCTTCGGCCTCGAATGCCGCCCTCTCCTCCGCTGTTTGCTTCAAACCCGCCCGGTCATAGACAGGAGGTCTGCCGAGCGAACGCTGTCGCGACCTGCGCCGATCCAGTTCTTCCGGTGTTTCGTAACAGGGATAGAGCAGACCCGCATCTTTCAGTTTTTGAGAGGCCACGTCGTAGCTCGCAACGCGACGGGACTGACGCTCGATCACATCCGGAATAATGCCGAGCCACCGAAGATCCTTCTCGATCGATTCTGCATATTCCTGCTTCGAGCGCTCCAGATCGGTATCATCGAAACGCAGAACGAAACGTCCGCCTTCTTTCCTGGAAAAGAGCCAGTTGAAGAGTGCAGGACGGCTGTTGCCGATATGAATGTGGCCGGTCGGCGACGGCGCAAAGCGAACAGTTACGGTCATGAGGCTTCAGTTAGCCGCTGGCGGGACGCGCGGCAACCCAAAACTGCCGCCAAATTCAACTATGTTGATCCGACCGGTAGGCGCGCGCGGCCAATGCCAGAACAGCGGCGAAAACGAGACAGTAAATCCCCATTGCCGTCACCTGCGCATCGAACGAGACGCCGATGTCGATCAGCCAGCCGACGAGTCCGGGCCCGGCTGCGGAGGCAAAGACCATGATCGAAAAAGCGACAGCGCGTATCGCTCCCATATGACGCGTGCCATAAACTTCCGGCCAGAAAGCGCCGACAAGTGTGCCATTAAAGCCGTTTCCTATCCCGACCAGTCCCAGAAACACGAATGCGGCAATCTGTGCGTCGACATTTGCCAGAACGAAACAGGCAAAGCACAAAGGCAACAGCGTATAAGGAAGCAACTGTCTCGCCGAGAACCTGTCGATCAGTGGTCCGATAATGAGCGATGCAATGACGACGCCGCTTGCCATGAGAAGAAACGCGCTTGCAAAAACTTCCAGAGACCAGCCACGCAGTTCAACGAGATACACCTGGTGGAACAGGACCGCGGTGCCGATAAAGGCAGGCGCATTGACACCGCAGGACACCAGCCAGAAGCGAGGATCCCGGAGCACCTCTGAGCGTGTCCACTGCCGGCCCTCGGCCTTTGCGGCGGCGACCTCTGCCGTCGAGGGTATCCGGTCCTTTGCCAGAAGTACGAAAAGTACGGGCATGGCGACAAGGATCAGCACCAGCGACGAAACGGTCCAGGCGCCGCGCCAGCCGATAGTTCCACTCAGAATGACGAAGCAGAGCGGAAACAGCGCTTCGGCGGTCGGAAACCCGAGCATTGAAATCGAGACCGCCCTGCCCCGTTGCGCAGAAAACCACCGTCCGGCTGCGGTCACCGAGGTATGTGTCATCATGCCCTGCCCGCACAGACGCAGACCGTAAAAGGCAAACGCAACCATCCAGACTGCAAATGCGTGTGCCAGGGCGAGGCAGAACAATGCAAACCCGGCCATCACTGCCATTGCGATCTTCTGCACCGGATAATGATCAAGGCTCTTTCCGACATATGGCAGGGTTAGCGCACTGCCGAGCGTCGCCACCATGTAAAGCAGACCGAGATCACCGTGGCTCAACCCGAATTCTGCCCGCAGATCCCCGGCCGACAACGAAATGAAAAACGTCTGTCCGAAACCGGAAAACGTCGTCAACAAGTAGCTGGCCGACAGCCAGCGCGCATTGTCGCGCAGGAAAGTAAAGTAGGTCATATGCACGAAGCCGATGGCCCGTAACGGACCTCAAGGGAAGGATGTCGGCTCCGGATTAGTTCAGCTGCGGTCCCGGAACCGATTTGTGATGGGATAGCGGCGATCCTTGCCGAAATTTCGTTCAGTAATCTTGACGCCCGGAGGTGCCTGTCGCCGTTTGTATTCGGCAATATAGAGCAAATGCTCGATCCTGTGAATCAAAGCCCTGTCATGACCGCGCTTTTCGATTTCACTGACGGACATTTCCTCTTCAACGAGACACTCGAGAATATCGTCAAGCACATCATATGGCGGCAGGGAATCCTGATCGGTCTGGTTTTCCCGGAGCTCCGCCGTGGGAACCTTGGTGATGATGTTGGACGGAATTACCTCCCCCCCAGGGCCGAGCATGCCTGCCGGCATGTTTTCGTTGCGCCAGGCGGCAAGGTGATACACCTGTGTTTTGTAAAGATCCTTGATCGGATTGTAACCGCCGTTCATGTCGCCATACAGCGTTGCATAACCGACCGACATCTCCGACTTGTTGCCGGTCGTCATGACCATGTGCCCGAACTTGTTGGAAACGGCCATCAAGATGACGCCCCGGGCACGCGACTGAAGATTTTCTTCCGTCGTGTCCTCGTTCGTCCCTTCGAACAATCCGCTCAACGTCGACCTGAAGCCCTCGACCGGTTCTGATATCGGAACCGTATCGTAACGAATTCCGAGTGCCGCAGCGCACTCGGCTGCGTCCTTGATGCTGTCTTCCGACGTATAGCGGTAGGGCAACATGATCGCGTGCACCTTGTCAGGCCCGAGAGCGTCGACCGCCATGGCCGCACAGATCGCGGAATCGATGCCACCGGACAGACCGAGCACCACGCCAGGGAAACCGTTCTTCTTGACATAGTCGCCGAGCCCGAGAACACAGGCGCGCCAGTTGGCTTCATCAAGATCAGGAAGCTTGACGGTCTCCCCCTGCTCGCAGATCCAGGTTTCTCCGTCGCGCTTCCAGTCACTGATGCCGAGAGCGGTCTCGAACTGGGGCATCTGGAAGGCAAGCGAGCGATCTCCCTGGAGGGCGAAGGATCCGCCGTCAAATACGAGTTCGTCCTGCCCGCCGAGTTGGTTGCAGTAAACCAGCGGCAAGCCGGTTTGCACAACGCGCGACACCACCACCTGCAGGCGTTCTTCAGCACGATTTTCCCAGTAGGGAGACCCATTGGGCACCAGCAGCAGCTCTGCTCCGGTTTCCTCGAGGCACTCGCATACCTCGTCGTTCCAGATGTCCTCACAGATCGGCAGACCTATCCGGACACCTCGAAAATCAACTGGCCCTGGAAGCGGTCCTGATTCAAAGACCCGTTTTTCATCAAAGACACTGTAATTCGGGAGATCGTACTTGTATCGAACGGCTCTAACCTCGCCCGCGTCCAGCAGGACGACGGCATTATAGACCTTCTCGTCACTCCCCCGCCACGGGGTACCGATGACCAGCGCTGGACCGCCATCAGCGGTCTCACGGGCAAGTTCCTCGGCAGCATCCATGCACCGGCGAACGAAAGCGCGCTTCAACACGAGATCTTCCGGCAGATATCCGGCGAGAACCAATTCTGATGAGAGGACCAGATCGGCCCCCTCTTCAGCAGCTTTCCGGCGCGCGTTGCGGACGAGGTCCGCGTTGCCAGCGACGTCGCCGACTGTCGGGTTGAGCTGTGCAACAGCCAGTCTGAAGTGATCGGAAATCATGGAAGCAGCACCAGGAAGAGTCATTGTCCCTGATGTAGCCGCAAGATCAAAAGGTTGCAATCACTCAAATCGTATTGTGCCCGTTTCGGACCGGTCAGGTCCGATCGAATATAAGGCGACAAGCCGGGAAACAAAGCCAGATTGCCCCTATCCACCCGAGGGTATTTCGGCCGGACACGGCGTAAAACACGAGAACAACGCTGTTGCGTGTAGCTGTCTCCGTCCCGAACGAGCACCCGTCAGCGAAATGGATGGTCCTGAATCAGGCTTTCAATATGTCGCTTGCGGCCCTGCGACCTGACATCAAGGCTCCGTGCGTCGTGCCGTGATAGTCAAAATTCGTGTGCTCACCCGCCATGAACAATCGACCTGAAATCGGGGCTTCCAACCTTGTGAAGTCTGCAACAGAGCCACCCGTTCGCGGGAAGGTATAGGCGCCGAGAAAATGTGGTTCCTTTGACCAGTGGGTGGTGAGCACCGATTGCGGTGAAGTAACTTCATCGCCCCAAACCGAGCGAAGGACCGCCAGCGCGTCCCTGGTCATGACCTCCTTGCTCATATTGTCGGCAATTGGAGCATACCTGCCGAATGACAAACCAAGCAGGATATTCTCGTCACTGAACGTTCGGTAGTTCAGCCAATAGTTCCAACGTCCCCTGGGCTCTGTCATAACCCCGAAATACTGGGTTTCGGTATCCCAGAACGGCGTTTCAAACTTCAGAGCAATTTTCGTGACACTACCAAAACCGATCCGGTCGATCGACTTCTGAACGTCTTCCGGCAGAGAGGGTTCGAAAACAATGTCGCTCGTTTTCAAAATGCCCAGCGGCACCGCACAAACAACGTAATCTGCCTGCAGCCCGTCAACCTCAACCCCGCTTCTATCGTAGTAAACGCGCGAGACCGGCGTGTTCAGGCGAATATCCAGGTTAGCCGCCAGCGGCGCGAAAACCTGGTCATAACCTTCGGTCAAAATTACATCCGCACCATCAAACGTATCCGATGCAAAGCCGTTTCGCGCAGAAATGTCTTCAATCCCGGCGCCGATATCGAATTCGAAAAACGTCGAAAGGGCCCAAATCCCAAGTGGGTCAGTCAGGATATCAGGTTCGATCTCCCGGAGCAGATCATGGACACTGCGCGTTTCCGAGCGAGCTGGAGAATAAAGCACCGTTTCCAGATGATCGTACATGTCATCGAGGCGAACGTATTCTGCATCGGTCAGCGGTCGTCCAGACAGGTCGAACACCTCGAGGTTGTCGTCGTCCGTTACGAAAGTGCCGACATCAAGGGCATCAGCAAGTTGTTTTACCGGATTATGTTGGCTTGGCCCATGTATCCACCCGGCCCCGAATTCAAATGGAGCGCCCAGGGACATGTCGGTGCGGATGCGGCCGCCCACATAATCGCCGGCCTCCAGCACAATGACTTCGGCACCCCGCTCCTGCAGTTGTTTTGCCGCCGCAAGTCCCGCAAGGCCCGCGCCTATCACGACCACTTTGGTACCGGTCAGTTTACGCGCAGTTGCGTTGCTCGCGAGGCTTGTCAGAAAAGCCGTGATACCCAGTTTAAGTGCGTTGCGACGTGTGATGATCATCTGGGACCCTGAGCGAATATGCTGCAACAGTGCGTTCCGTCCATAGCATGCAACAATTCACGGGTTCAAAGCCTGCCGGTGGTGGGAAATGATTTTCGTCATGCCAGCGGACTTGCTGCCCGCCGCCCAATTTTTTGTTTCCGTTCGTCCCAAACCATCTTCGGGAGGACCGCTTCGGAAACTTCCCGAGCGCACGCGAAGGCGGCCCCTGGCACGTCAGAGCAGTGCGAGCCCCGCTTCGTCGTCGGGTTGGGATTCCGGGGCCAAATTCGATATGTCTGTTATGTTGAGCTTGCGCGCCGGCTTCTGGAAGCCTGGCCCCATGATGCCTTTCGAGCGCCCATGCATTTCCTGGCGTTCCAGGATCTCACCAATATGCCGGTAAAGAATTGCGGGCGCGATCGGTTTGGCAATGAAACCATGGATACCAATTCCGATCGCCTCCAGGATTGTTGCGCGCTTGGCATGAGCCGTGATGACCAGAACAGGCATCGTCGAAATCACGAGATCCCGGTCGCCTCGCAGGATTCTCAGGAATTCGCTTCCACCAAACGGATTCATCACCCAGTCGAGCAGAACGACATCAGGCTTCCTGTCGACAACAAGTTCGAGTGCTTCGGCGCCGTCGCTTGCCTCAAAAACCGATCGGATACCGAATCCGGTCAATACCGAGCGCAAAATGGTGCGCATATGAGGATTGTCTTCCGCAATCAGGCAGGAAGCCCTGGACAGATCCCACTTCTCACGCAATGTCCCATCTCCTCCAAGCGAGCCTTTCTTGTTCACAGGTATGGGGAGCGAGCGTTAAACGAGACTTACCGTCCCGCTGCAATTTTCGTAAAAATTGTCAAAAATACCAAAAAGGGCGGTTCAAGCCGCCCTTTAGGTTAACGTCAAGTAAGCAACGCCGGTCGTTACGCGCTGGCAGCCATTGGCTCTGCCTTCCGGCCATCGCGCTCCTTCTTGAGGTTTTCCGCGATGAGAAACGCAAGTTCAAGGGCCTGATCGGCATTCAGGCGCGGATCGCAATACGTATGGTAGCGGTCACCAAGCTGCTCGGCAGTCAACGCGCGGGCACCCCCGGTACACTCCGTCACGTTGCGACCAGTCATCTCCACATGAACGCCGCCTGCATGGGTTCCCTCGGCGCGGTGCACGGCAAAAAACGCTTCGACTTCCTTCAGGATGCGATCGAACGGACGCGTCTTGTAGCCCCCGGCAGTGATTGTGTTGCCGTGCATCGGATCACAGGACCAGATAACGGACTTGCCTTCACGCTCAACCGCCCGCACGAGTTGCGGCAAGTGATCGAACACCTTGTCGGCACCAAAGCGCGCGATCAGGGTCAGGCGACCCGGTTCGTTGTCCGGATTAAGGATGTCGACCAGTTCAAGCAGTCCGTCAGGTGTAAGGGATGGTCCGCACTTCAAGCCGATCGGGTTCTTGACACCGCGGAAGAATTCCACGTGAGCATGGTCCGGCTGGCGTGTCCGGTCACCGATCCAGATCATGTGTCCCGAAGTCGCGTACCAGTCGCCGGAAGTGGAATCAACGCGTGTCAGCGCTTCTTCATACCCCAGAAGCAATGCTTCATGGCTTGTGAAGAAATCCGTTCCGCGCATCTGCGGCACGTTATCGGACTTGATGCCACAGGCGCGCATGAATGCAAGCGACTCTGTAATCCTGTCCGCGAGTTCCTTGTAACGATGCCCCTGCGGGCTGTCGGTAATGAAGCCCAGCATCCACTGGTGTACCTGATCAAGGTTCGCGAAACCGCCTTGCGCGAACGCACGCAGAAGGTTCAGCGTTGCCGCAGACTGGCGATAGGCCATAGCCATGCGGCTCGGATCGGGTATCCGGCTGCCGGAATTGAAATCGATGTCGTTGATGATGTCGCCACGGTAACTCGGCAGCTCGACATCGTCTTTCTTTTCGATATTCGATGACCGCGGTTTTGCAAATTGACCCGCAATACGCCCGACTTTCACCACTGGCTGGCTCGCTGCAAAGGTCAACACGACGGCCATTTGCAGGAAGACGCGGAAAAAGTCCCTGATGTGATCCGGATGATGTTCGGCGAAGCTCTCGGCGCAATCGCCTCCCTGCAGAAGGAAACCGTTGCCCGCGGCGACGTCGGCCAACTGTTGTTTCAGCGCACGCGCCTCACCTGCAAAAACCAGAGGCGGATAAGTCGACAGGCGCTGTTCAACACTCGCCAAAGCCTCTTGATCCGGGTATTCCGGAACCTGCAAGATCGGTTTAGATCTCCAAGAATCCGGGCTCCACTTGTCCGCCATTTATTCTACTCCTACTGGACTCGCGACATCATTCAAACCTGAATGCGCAGTCCGCGACATTTTCATTCGTTTCCATTTGCCGGGTTAAAGCAAACGTGCGGCGTTATACACGCGGTTGGTCGGTTATGCCACAGGGGAATCTGCCAAAATTGCGGTGAACCGTAGAAGACCGATTCCTGACCGTTTGTCGCGTGGAAACCCTGCCTTGACACGGATCATGGCACGGCCGGGCCTTACTGATCACCCTAACGTAGCACAAGAATAGGACAGACCCATGCCAACTCCTAGACTGGAGCACAGCCACAGGCCTGACGACATCGCTTCAAGACTCGCTGTCAAGCCGACCGCGAGTTATCTGCGGGACTGGATATACGGTGGTATCGATGGCGCAGTCACGACCTTTGCGATCGTCGCGGGAGCAGTGGGTGCTGCGCTTTCACCGAAAATCATTCTGATACTGGGTGTTGCAAACCTTCTTGCAGACGGGTTTTCCATGGCGGCTGCAAATTACAGCGGCTCAAAGTCCGAAACGGAGGATTACGCCCGGCTGATGGCCATTGAAGAAAAACACATTGCCATCGCGCCGGAAGGTGAAAAGGAAGAAATCAGGCAGATATTCAGGTCCAAAGGCTATCAGGGCAGCGACCTTGATGATCTCGTGCGTCTCGTGACATCCAACAGGACCACCTGGATCGAAACGATGATGCAATCCGAATACGGGCTGTCGGCAGCGACCAGATCTCCTTTCAAAGCGGCTCTGGCAACCTTTGCCGCGTTTGTCGTTTGCGGCAGCCTGCCTCTTTTGCCCTTCCTGATGGGCCTTGGGGCCTCTGAAATCTACACGACCGCACTTACGGCACTTACATTCTTCCTGATCGGTTCGATCAAGTCGCACTGGTCTACCAAAAACTGGGTCTGGTCAGGACTGGAAACGACCGGCATCGGCCTTTCGGCGGCGGCAATTGCCTATTTTGTCGGTTACCTGCTGCAGGGCTTGATTGCCTGACAAGATCCGGTCCCCTGATCAGGTCTCACGGCATATCCAGAAATGTGAGGCCGTGCCTTGCGGTCGCCTCGTCAAGGACACTCAGGACCTGCTCGGGCAAGGCAACTGCTCTCGGATAGGCGGGATTTCGCCGGTCCTTGAGCACCGGTACATGCCAGCCTTCAGTCGTGTCCAGAAAGTGCGCAACACCCTCTTCTCCCCAAAACCGGTAGAACCCGGCCAGAACACAATCGAGATAACTTTGCAGGATCGGGTGTGTTTCCGTTCCCCACCGGTAGTGATCCGGCGCTGCGACAAAAACAAACAAGTCTTCCGGGCCGTTCTTCTTTTCAGCATCGCAGCGAAAAGATCCGCCGACCTCTTCCACCTTGCGGTATCGTTTCTCGCGTTTCTCCAGTTCCTTCAGACCTGACCGGGGCTCGCGTACCATCACGCCCCTGATCTCGTTTCCCGGATCTTCCCGAACACTGAGTGCACAGCGGCCCTGACCGTCCGGCCCCATGCCGCAGACCCGCCATTCCCTGACCCACCCTTTCAGCGTTCCAGGGGTCGCCACAGCGTCAGCCGGAATGGTGTCAAGATTGACGAGCGAGCCGTATCCAAAATATGTGATCGTCATCGCGTACAGGTCTTTTTTCCTTGGGGAGCCGTCTCGATATCTTTCGTGAGCCAGCATCCCATAACCAAACAAAATTCACATCCGAGGTTTGTCATGATCGTCCCATCCCTTTCCCAACAGGATATTGCGGTTCTGAGGGAAGACACCCCCGGTGTAAGTCAGCTGATCCACTTTAACAACGCCGGAACAGGACTGGCACTCAAGCCGGTTCTCGATGCCGTGAAGCAGCATCTGGACCTGGAAGCACAACTGGGAGGCTATGAGGCAGCGGCTGCAAACAAGCAACGTATGGACACTTTTTATACGAGTCTGGCAGCACTCATCGGCTGCAAGCCGCATTCGATCGCCTACATAGAAAACGCGACGCGTGCCTGGGACATGGCCTTTTACGGAATCGATTTTCGCCAGGGTGACCGGATCGTCACCGGCAGATCCGAATATGTCTCGAACTACCTTGCTTTTCTTCAAATGAAGCAGCGCAAGGGCATAGAGATCGATATCGTGGAAGATGATGCCAGAGGGCAAATAGATCTTGCTGCCCTGAAAGCTGCTGTCGGCAAGAAGACACGCCTGATTGCCCTGACGCATATTCCGACATTCTCGGGTCTGATCAATCCGGCAGAAGACGTCGGAGACATCGCACAGGCCGCCGGTGTTCTGTATCTGCTGGATGCGTGCCAGTCGGCCGGTCAAATTCCCCTGAACGTCCACGAGATAGGCTGTCACATGTTGTCCGGCACCGGACGGAAATATCTGCGCGGCCCCAGGGGGACCGGGTTTTTGTATGTCAGTGACAATGTGCTCGATCAGCTCGATCCTTCTTTCATCGACCTGCAATCCGCGAACTGGACTGCCGACAACACCTATGACCTGGTTCCGCATGCCCGGCGATTTGAGACCTGGGAGCGATACGTGGCAGGCCAGATCGGGCTCGGCGTCGCGACGGCCTATGCAATCGGGTTCGGAATGGAGCGGATCGGAAACCGGATTTGCGCGCTCGCAGCTCAATTGAGATCCGAACTGGCCGGACAGACCGGCGTCACGCTGCACGACAAGGGAGCGCGCAAAGGTGGAATAGTCACCTTCGCTCTGGCGGGCGAAACTCCATTGCAAACAAAAGCACGGCTTGGCGGATCCAGGATCAACGTGTCCGTGAGTTCGGCATCGTCGGCCCGGATCGACCTGCCACACAGAGGATTAGATGCCGTGGTCCGGGCATCGGTGCACGCGTTCAACACGGAAAGTGAAATAGAACGTTTCGTTAAGGCTCTCGCCAGTTTGAGTTGACATCTCGCACCTCTCCCGGGCTCGACCACCCGGCGTTAAGCTTCCTTTGCTATTTAAGGGACCGGATTACATCGGGGCGGTTATTTTGTTCTGGAACAGGAAAAGCGGCGACATTGCGGGTACCACGGACGGGAGCCGGGCGGCGACGGGGAGACAGATAAAGATTTGGATCTATGGGCTCGCGGCAATGCTGATCGTGCTCTCCACCGCCTCCCTGACCTTCATCGCGCATCTTGCCTGGTCCGAGGCGGACAGGCGTTCACTCGAAGGCGACAAACTCCGTTTCACAACGGCTTTGAAGCAGTATCAGAAACTCATTGCGCTCGACCAGATCGGACTGGCACAGTGGGACGAGACCTTTACGGCGCTGCAACACCCGCTGAACCGGGATTTCATCGAAGATCTCCTGTTTACAGATTTGTGGGAGCAGTTCGATCTCGAGCGAACATTTATTGTCAACGCAGATGGCAACCTGATTGCACAGGCCATCGAAGACAACACCCTCTTTCCCACCGAGACAACTGCGGCCGATCCAATTATCAAGCATCTGGCCGACCGGACTCGCGAGAGCTTTGACGCGCGCACGCGCAAGGCAAGCACGGGACTTGCCGATTGGTATTTGCCGCAATCCGTCCTGCTCGAGGTGTCAAACTCGGCATACGCGATCATTGACGGGCAGCCTGCTCTTCTTGTCGCGGTTCCTGTCCTGCCGGACGAAGGTCGCGTCAACTGGACTGAGAACAACCCTGCAGTCCTGATCAATGCAGTCTATTTCGACAATGAATTTCTCGCTGAACTGAACGAAGCCTTGAACTATCGTGATTTTCAGTTCTTTGCCGGGGAACCGGCGAGCAGACACCCGACAAATCATCTGGTCTGGGCTGCTGACGGTTCGGTGCTCGGATACTTCCGGTGGGATCATGAAAAACCCGGCCTGCACATCTGGTTCATGGCGTTGCCGCTCATTGTTCTGATCACGGCCATAATTGCAGTTGTCGCCTTTGCCATTGCCGCGAAAATCAGCCGTCTCTCGACATCACTTGAAGAAAGCGAGCGGAAAAACCACCACTTCGCCAATCACGATGCGCTCACCGGCCTGCCGAACAGGCATCACTTTTCCGACCGCCTCGCCTTTTCGATAGACAATCTCCCCGACAAGGGGTTCGCCCTGTTCGCATGCGACCTGGACCGGTTCAAGCCTATCAACGACACCTTCGGGCACGAAGTGGGAGACAAGGTCCTTTGCCGGGTTGCCGAACGATTTCAGAGCCATTTCGGCAATGACGATGTTGTGTGCCGGATCGGCGGAGACGAATTCATTGTCCTCATGACGAAATATTCGAATCTCGACGAACTGGAAGACCGGGCAAACAAGCTCAGAACCGAGATGTCCGCGCCAATCGAAATCGGCAACGGCGAGACGGTCCAGATCGGCGTGAGCGTCGGCATTGCAACGGCACCGGAATGCGGCACGAACGACAAGGACCTGATCCGGACGGCAGACATGGCGCTCTACCGAGCAAAAGAAAACGGACGAAATGTGGTTGAATTTGCCGTTCCCAGGTATTTGAAAAAGACAGACGGCGACAATCTTGCGGGTTTTCGCGTGCAATCGGGCAAGTAGAAGTTCTTTCGCCTCGATTCGATTCACTGCTATTTTTCACAATGAATAAATCGCTCACTTTTAAGTTATATCGTTAGTAACTACTAATATTTTGTCGAATTAATTACTATCAGAACTCCCTGTTAAGGCTTCACATCTAAAATTCTCGGAGATAACAGCAAGAAACACATAACCAACCGTAGTATTTAAAGAGACTGCAACTTGAGCGAATTCCGGCGTAGGCATAGCGATCAAGCTCCAAAACTTGCCAGACAGCATATTTCGCGTCTCGCGTTCATGCTTGCCGGTCTTCTGATCGCCGTTACGTCGATTTCCCTGATGTTTGTCGGCTTCATCGCCACGCGGGCATCAACGCAACAGACGATCGCCAACGAAGAGCGACTGTTTCAAAGTGTCGTCTCGGATCGACTGCGCGCGATCGTGCGGGAGCAAATCAGGATCACGTCATCCGACACATCGGTCGAAAACCTGGTGCGAGGCTTCAATCCTGCCTTTGCGCGGCAAAGCTTCGATACGCTCTGGACCGACTACAGGCACGACAAGATCATGTTGATCTCCGGAGACAAAAAGGTCCTCGCGGAGTCCTTCGAAGACTATACGCACATCATCAAGCGGCCCCTGGACGAGACTCCCGAACTCGAGATCATTGTTCAAAAACTGACCGCGAAATACATGCGCAACCGGGTCCGTGTTCCAGGCGGCTTCGGGTATCGTTCGCTCCTTGATATTGATCCGAAGGACTATGCGTTGATGGGATATGTCCGCATCGACGGCAAGCCCGCCATATTCGGCGCAATGCCGGTCATTCCGGACAAGTTTCACACAACGCTTCCAGACGGACCTCCGACGATACTGCTATCCGCGCTCTACATCGACGAAACGCTACAAAAGCAGTTGAACTCTCAACTCGACTTCACTTCCTTTGCATTCATCGACACTGTTTCCGCTGACTATGATGGGCCCATCCATCCCGTCTCGGACCAGACCGACATCCCGCTGGGTGCGTTTCGCTGGGAAAGCGAATCCGCCAGCACATCCATCTGGCCAACGATCATTCCGGTCATCGCCATCTTGAGTGTTGCGCTCGGCGCACTCGCGTTCGGGATTGCCTGGCGCATAGGCCTGCTGACGACCTCTCTTCAGGTGAGTGAGCAACAAAACAGATATCTCGCCCTCCACGACACGCTTTCAGGCCTCGGAAACAGACTGCTGTTCAATCGGGTTCTGGATACGTCGGTAAAGGAACTTCCCGAAAAGCACTTTGCCGTTCTTCATTGTGACCTCGATAAATTCAAGTCCGTGAACGACACCTTCGGGCATGCTGCGGGAGATGAAGTCATAAGGGTGGTGGCGCACCGGATGCAGGAAACAGTGGGCAGACAGGGCCTCGTCTGCCGGATCGGTGGTGACGAGTTCATGGTGATCTACCGCAAGGAAACGGCAAAAACGCAGTTGCAGACGCTATGCCGTACGCTCGTTGCTTCCGCCCAGGAGCCCATTTCATGTGGCGACGGCACAACGGTAAGCGTCGGCCTCAGCATCGGGATCGCCTGCGCTCCCGAGGATGGTTCCGAAGGGGAGCAGCTTGTCAGCCGATCAGACGCCGCTCTCTACCGGTCCAAAGCCATGGGCCGCAGCCAGTTCACGTTTTTCTCCGACATTCCGACACGGGACGCAGACGAATGTAAATCCTCTGCCCCCGATAAAGCCGGGCACGTGGAAACCTACAGCAAGGCGGCAGGCTAAGCCTGCATCCCATCCGCAGAGATTTGCCGGCAATGGCCGCATTTGCACGGACCGGTGTCAGCCACGCAGCTGTTCTGTCGGCTCACGCATCGTCACAAGTTCTTCGGCCGCTGTCGGGTGAACGGCAATGGTGCGGTCGAAATCCGCCTTGGTCGCACCCATCTGGAGCGTAACACCCAGAATCTGGGCAAGTTCGCCCGCATCAGGACCAACAACGTGCACGCCGAGCACTTTTTGCGTATCGGCATCGACGATCATTTTCATGAGCATCTTCTCATCACGTCCGGACAAGGTGTGTTTCATCGGCCTGAAGCTGGATTTGTAGATGTCCAGGTTTGGTGTGCGTTCCAGCGCCTGTTCCTGGGTCAGTCCCACCGTTCCCATCTCGGGTTGGGAAAAGACTGCCGTGGCGATCAGGCCGTGGTCGACCGTCCAGGGATTGTTGCCAAATACCGTGTCGGCGAATGCGTGCCCCTCACGGATTGCAACCGGGGTCAGGTTCGCACGGTTTGTGACATCACCAACCGCATAGATCGACTCAATGTTCGTTCTAGAATCGGCACTCACCTTGATAGCTCCGATCCGATCAATCTCGACACCGGCCTTTTCCAATCCCAGATCGCTGGTATGGGGATTCCGGCCGATTGCAAACATGATCTGGTCGGCGGCAAGGCTTTTGCCACCCTTGGTATTGCCGGTCAGCGACCCGTCGCTTTCCTTCTCAATTGCGGAGAACGCATCACCCAAAATGACCTTGATACCCTTTTTCTCCATTTCCTGGCGAATCGTGGTTCTGAGATCCATTTCGAAGCCGCGCAGGATTTCCTCACCGCGATAAATCAGCGTCGTATCCGCCCCGAGACCGTTGAAAATACCGGCGAACTCAACGGCAATGTAACCGCCACCGGCAACAACGACCTTGCGCGGAAACTCCGTCATGTGAAAGGCCTCGTTGGAGGTGATCACGTGTTGCATGCCCGGTACGCTGTTGTCGACATTGGGCGACGCACCAACTGCGATCAGAATGTACCTTGCGGTCAATGTCTGGCCGGTCGACAGCAGGCGGACGGTATGTGGATCCTCGAGCACGGCCCGGCTATCGTGGACCTCCACGTTCGTCCGCTCCAGGTTACGGCGGTAGATGCCTTCAAGACGCGTAATTTCCTGATCCTTGGCCGCGACCAGTTTGTCCCAGGAAAAACCACGTTCCCCGACGGACCAGCCGAAGCCTTCCGCATCTTCAAATTCTTCGGAAAATTTTGACGCGTAGACAAACAGTTTCTTGGGAACGCAACCGCGGATGACACACGTTCCGCCATACCGGTATTCTTCGGCAATCCCGACACGAGCGCCATGTGTTGCTGCAATGCGTGCGGCTCTAACGCCACCCGATCCGCCGCCAATAACAAAAAGGTCGTAGTCGTAGTCGGTCATTTGTGCCTCTTTTGAAATCACCCGTCATACACCCGGCGGGTTCCCAGCCTGCCCGCACATAAGCGATGTAATTCGCCGTGCAAGCCGTCATCTGAGCCAGCGTTGGCGTTCCATGCCAGGAAAACCAGATATTGGAACGGTTTGGGCCGCTTCCGCGGCCCAAACGCCGGTCAGAATACCAGCTTCAATTCTCTGTGTGGTCCCCGTTATCGGAACGTTTATTCAACCTTGTTTCTCTTTTGCAGTTCCTGCTGGACCATCGTCACCATGTCAGTGGAAAGCTTGTCCTGCCATTCCCGGGCAGCACCCACGGAAAGCTGTGTCACGGCCGGCAGTGCGCTGGTGAGCTTTTGTCCAAGATCAGTGGTGTAGAATTCAGCCAACTGGTTCAGCTCTTCTTCGGTAAAATTGGTTGCCCAGGCCTGATAAACCAGTTTGTTCAGATCAGACCGGGTCGGCGCGAGCTGCAGCGCCACGTCCTGCGTGATTTCGATGATTTCCTCGGCACGTGTCGGTTCCGCCTGAATGAACGCGGTCCGTGTCTGTTCGGCAAGTATCGGCAGGATTTCGTCGAAAGGCTCCAGAACCTTTGTAACTTCGGCCACGTTCTTGGCCGCTGCCATGTGGCTTTCGGAAATTGCGTCCTGTGCAATCGCCGCGGATGTAAAAATTCCAACGGCCGACATTACCGCACCCAATACGGCCGCCCGCGGAAGTGCTTTCATAAGTGTCATTTTTCTACTCCTACGCGGCACTCCGGAAATTTCTGCGGAGGCCAAATCCAAAACAGTCAGACAGGCAAGACGGTCTTTACCCCATCCGAGCCCGCCACGTAAGCTTTTGTTGCAAGTCCGATGAACAGACCATGTTCAACAACGCCCGGTATCGCCACGAGCCGGTTAGCCAGAGATTGCGCCTGAGGTATGGCCTCAAGATGCGCATCCAGGATGTAATGGCCACCGTCGGTGACAAAGGGCTGCCCACTGCCCCCTCTCAATTCCAGTTTCTGCGGCAGACCAAGGTCGTCGAATACGCTCAAGACAGCGTTGCTTGTGGCCTGCAGACCGAACGGGACGACCTCAATTGGCAAGGGAAACTGTCCAAGAATTGCCACTTCCTTGCTGCTGTCCGCGATCACGGTCATCTGTCCTGATGCAGCCGCAACGATCTTTTCACGCAACAACGCGCCACCACCGCCCTTGATCAGAGCGAGTCCGGCATCAAACTCATCCGCTCCGTCGATCGTCAGGTCAAGTTCCGGAAGATTTTCCAGCGTCGTCAGGCGGATACCAAGTCCGGAGGCCAGCTCCCGCGTTCTTTCCGACGTCGGCACACCGATGACGTCCAGTCCCTCTCCCACACGCTTCGCCAGTGCGTGCACGAAGAATTCCGCCGTCGACCCGGTTCCGATGCCAAGCCGCATTCCCGAGGTCACATCATCCGCTGCACGCTCAGCTGCCTGCTGTTTAAAATGATCGCTCATCCACTATTCCTTCAGCCACCACCCCAGCGGATGGGCCGCGGCCGGTTACATATTCCTGGTCGCCGGGTGCTTAACATGGCCAGCCTCCGCCGGTCCAGTGGCATTCCCGACTTCCGTGAGGAAACAGCTGGAGAACCGGAATAATGAATTTGTTAACCATGATTTTAGAATGAACTGCGATCTTGAACGCAATTTCCCGAGATTTGAAAAGCATGGTCTCAAATGAATCTGTTTCGGCGCAAGAAATCCAAGCTTGACGAACTGACCGATGCCAGCACCAACCCTGGGGAAGCAACCGGGGCTCAAGCCCCGGCGGACGATGCACGCCAAGCCCCGGACCAGAACAAGTCAGATCAGCTTGAGTTCGTGCTTGATAGTCTGGAAGACGATCTCCAGGTCGCAGCCAGGACAATCAATATTGCCGCGGACAAGGTTCAGGACCGGCTGGTCGGTCAAATGGATACGCTTGAGGCAATCCGAAGCGATACTCAATTGCTTTCAGACCAATCGGCCGTTGCAGATGAAAACGCCTCAAACCTGGCGACATCCATCCGGGAACTGTCAGCCTCCAGCGGCGAGATCGGATCACAGGTCGGAGTTTCCAACCAACTCGCTGATGAAGCGCGTGAAATCGCAGATCAGGCCAATGAAGGCGTACTTGAACTCAAGGGCGCCATTGATGACATTGCAAATGTTGTCAGCCTTATCTCGGACATCGCAAAACAAACAAACCTGCTGGCCCTGAATGCAACCATCGAAGCTGCCCGTGCGGGAGAGGCAGGCAGAGGTTTTTCCGTGGTCGCAAGCGAGGTCAAGGCCCTGTCTGTCGAGACGCAATCGGCAACGGAGCAGATCGTCTCCAATATTGAAAAGCTGAACCTGTCCGCGGAACACAGCCTGGGTTCGGTCAACAGGATCATCGACATAATCGGAAAAATCCGGCCGAGTTTTGCCACCGTCGAAGACGCGGTGCGCTCCCAGGTAAACACGACCAATCTGATCGGTGAACAAGCAAACAAGACCGCTGACTTTGCGCAGGAGGTGGTTCGCAAGGCACAGATAATCACCGAAAGCGCGGTCTCGGCAGAAGAAGGGGGCACACTGGCCCGCGAATCCGGTGCGCAGATGAGTGCCGCCAGCCGATCGCTTCAGAACAGGTTCACAATGATGATCCGGCAGACGGGACTCGGAAACAGGCGGCAGCACGACCGTCTGCCGGTCAAGATCTCCGGGTCGGTCGCAAACGGCTCCGTGACAAGCCAGATCGAAACTCTGGATATTTCAGAGGGCGGCCTTCTCTTCAAGGCAAACAGTGACCTTGACCTGAAGCAAAACGACACCGTTCAGCTCGAGCTCAATGGACTTGGCAACGTCACCGCGAGACTGGTTGCCGTATCGGACAACGGATTTCACAGCTGTTTCCAGGATCCCGAACCGGCCTTCGAGCAAGCCCTGCGTCGCAAGCTCGCCTCCATTCACGAGAGCCACGCCCGCGAAGTGGACTGTGCACAATCCGGCGCTTCAAGAATAGAAAACGCCATGCAGGATCTTGTCTCGCGAAATGTGCTGACCCTGGACGACCTGTTCGACACGGACTATCAACCGATTGAAGGAACGAATCCGCAGCAGGTCTCAACGCGGGCATTGCAGCATCTGGAAAACGTGCTTCCGGAAATCCAGGAAGACATTCTCGCCAGTGGCACGGAACACGGCATGGCATTTTGTGCCTCTGTCGACCGAAACGGATACCTGCCGGTTCACAATTTGGTCTTTTCCAATCCGCAGCGTCCCGACGATCCTGTCTGGAATACCGCCAATTGCAGGAACAAACGGATATTCGACGATCGTGCCGGTCTCAGTGCGGCACGCAACACGCGGCCCTTCCTTATCCAGTCGTATGCTCGGGACATGGGTGGTGGCAATATCGTCTGGATGAAGGAAATCGACGCACCGATCCTCGTCCAGGGCAGGCATTGGGGCGGCTTCCGCACGGCCTATAAACTTTAGGCGTCGTTTGAGGCGCCATCACGTCAGCGCACACTTGCAGTCCCCCTCCATTTCCGGGTACGCAGGAAGTTCATCTCACCGGTTCGAGGGTTTCATGTCAGTTCTTGTATTCGATCTGGATGGCACGCTGGTGTCGTCGATGGAAGATCTTGTCGTCACACTCAATGTCGTCCTGACGGCAAACGGCCACCGTGAAGTCCCCAAGGAAAAGGTCGTCCACATGGTTGGCATGGGCGCCAGGATCCTGTTGCAGCGCGGGCTCGAATTCAACAAAATCGAGTGGACGGACGAGATGGTCGACCCGCTGTTCCGTCACTTTCTGGACCACTACGCCGCCAATATTGCCGTGCATACCAGACCGTTCGAAGGTGTCGAGGCCTCACTGGAAACGTTCAGAAAGCAAGGCTGGAAACTCGCGGTCTGCACCAACAAGGCCGAGCGACTGACCCTTCCGCTCCTGGATGCACTTGATCTTGCGAAATATTTTGATGCTGTCGTCGGCGGTGACACTTATGAACGGTCCAAACCCCATGCGGATCCGGTCCATGGGGCGATAGAGCGCGCGGGTGGTACAGTCGAGGGGTCGATCATGATCGGCGACAGTGGCACGGATATCAACGCAGCCCGCAATGCCGGCATTCCAGTCATTGCAGTCGATTTCGGTTACACGCCTGTCCCCGTTTCCGAACTCGGACCGGACAAGGTGATTTCGCATTTCGACGAACTCGGTGCCGCTATTGAAACGCTTCCAGGCCTCAAGCACTAGAACAAACGGCAATACTCTTGTCACTATTGTGCACTCTCATCTTTATTACGTAGAAATCTCGTAAAATATTAACTCGTGATAGAAATCACAATACACTTGAACACTCAGGGATTCATTTGTGCTTTAAGTCACAAACATTCAAAAAAACACTACTTACCACACTCATATTCTGTCGATATCCATTTTTACCAAACCTTTAGTGACGCCCGTCACTACTCGTTAACCAAAACTGCCCCAAGGTCACCTTGTCGCTAGGGAATGCCAACCGGCTGACCTTAAAAGCGACGGGGGCTTTGATTAGCAGTACCGAACATATTCGTCCGGATACTTCCCCTATTTTCAATACCTGGTGGGTCGCCACGGCGATTACATGAATATCAAGGCGATGTTTTCGCCTGAACTGCTTTTGCAAGACGCTAATACTTTGTCAGGTCGACCAACCTGGCTCTGAAAACCACAACCGATAGATTGGAAAGATCCATCGGAAAGGCGCCGCTCGGCCTGTTTCAGCCAATGCCGGAGCGTCAGATAGTGAGCTAACGGATGCATGACAACACGAATACCAATCTGGAGCCTGGTCTCGATTTCACCGTCCTGGGAGAGAGTCTTGCGCTCATGGCCCAGTGCGATCTTTACAGGTCGCGCAGTATCGACCAATTCGGCGCATTGGTTCTTCCACCCATGAAACTGGGACAGTTCCGGATCTGGCGCCGCAAGGGTCTGGCGGTGGCGCTGGCAACCTGGGCCTATCTCGACACGGATACGGAAAAGGCGGTTCTGGAGGACGACACTCCCCTGTCTCCGGACGAATGGTCTTGCGGAACCAATCCGGTTGTCATGGATCTCGTTGCGCCTTTCGGTGACGGCTTTGCCGCTTCAAGAGATCTGGTGCGTACGGTTTTTCCAGGCCTTGCCTTCAAGGCCGTGCGGCGTGCGGCGGACGGCCGTCCGCGCCGCGTCGTCCAATTCGCCGGTTTGAATGCCGACGGACAAAAAGTCAACCGCTCATCCCGAATCTGCTGACTATTTTTCAAAAACCTAAATTTAAACAATAGCTTGGACAAAAGGAATTTGACTCATGGGAAGTTCTACAAAATCGATTCATCAGACATACAAACTTTGGGGTATCAGCGTTTACAAGAATGCCGGCAGCGGCAATGACAAACTTTATGGTCACGCTGCAAAGAACCACCTTCTCGGCGGCTCGGGCAATGATACGGTTTACGGATACGGTGGCTGGAACAAGCTTGACGGCGGCAGCGGCAACGACCTCGTCAAGGGGTACGGCGGGTCCAACTATCTTTACGGCGGATCCGGACACGACCGCGTCTACGGATACGGTGCCTACAACTCCATGTCAGGCGGTTCGGGCAACGATTCCATGTACGGTTATGGCGCAAAGAACAAGATGTGGGGTGGTTCCGGCCACGACTACATGAAGGGAACCGGCGCATATAACTACATGAGCGGCGGCGATCACAATGACCGCATTTACGGCCATGGCGCCCGCAACGAAATGTATGGCGGCAATCACAATGACAAGCTCTATGGGTATGGCGCCTCCAACAAGATGGACGGCGGCGCCCACAACGACTCGCTTTATGGCTATGGTGCCCACAACGACATGCAGGGTGGCAGCGGCAACGACTTCCTGGAAGGCTGGGGAGCAGTCAACATCATGCGGGGTGGCAGCGGTAACGACGTTATCAAAGGGCGCGGCGCACTCAACACCATCTATGGCGACAGCGGCAACGACACGATCGAAGCCATTGGCGGCGTCAACAACGTGCATGGCGGTACCGGCGACGACAACATCAAGGGGATCGGCGGAACCAATGTTTTGCGCGGGAATGACGGCAACGACACGATAACGGCCGTTGGCGGCGTCAACACCGTTTTCGGCGATGCAGGCGATGACACGATGATCAGTGCCGGTGGCGTCAATGTCATGTTCGGTGGAACCGGCAACGACAAGATGATTGCCAGCGCCCTTCTGGCGACCAGCCAGAGCGGCGAAGCGGGTGACGACACGATGCTCGCTGTCAGCAACGCCAACCTTCAATGGGGTGGCGACGGCAACGACACCATGGTCGGCATCGGCAACCTCAACATCCAGTCGGGTGGAAATGGCGACGATCTCCTTCTGGCGGCCGGTCAGACCAATGTCCAGCTCGGCCAGGACGGCAAGGACAAGATGTTCGCCGTTGGCAGCCTGAATGTGCAGGTCGGCGGTGACGGTGAGGATCTGGCCGTTGCTGTCGGCAGCACCAATATCCAGTATGGCGGCAACGATGCCGATATCCTGGTCGCCGGTGGTGGCGCCAACATTCAGATCGGCGGCACCGGCAATGACTGGCTGATCGGCGCTGGCAGAGGCAACGTCCAGTTCGGTGCGGAGCTCTGGTCAACGATCCCCGATGGCGTCAGTCTTGCCGGGTTCGATCTCGACGCGGCGAAGGACAAGCTAGCCGATTACGCCAATTCAACCGGCTCCGACGGCACCAACGTCATGCTGGCTGGTGGTGAACTCAACATCCAGCTCGGCGGCGCAGAAACGGACATTGCCATCGGTGCCGGCAAGGGCAACATCCAGGCAGGCGGCGGTGGCAGCGACGTCCTTCTCGGTGGCGGCAAGGGTAACCTGCAGTCCGGTGGCGACGGCACGGACCTGATGATCGGTCTCGGCCGGGTCAACGTCCAGGAAGGTGGCGGTGACACCGATGTCATGATCGCGATGGAACGCGGCAAGGATGCCGGTGTCCAGCTGCAGTTCGGCGGCGATGCGACCGACTTCATGATCACCCGCGGCGGTGACGGCGAAGCCGACCCGTTCAAGGCCTTCATAGATCACTTTAAGGAAAAGGCTGCCGAAAAGGCGGACGAAAACAAGGACGAGCAAAGCAACGACACGGAAGCGACCTCGACGACGACCGAAAACACCGGTTCCGATGACACCAAAAAGCAGAGCCTCACGGAGAAAATGAAGGAAAACGCCCCTTCGCTGAACCTGCAGTTCGGCGGTGACGGCGGCGACCTCTTCAACACCGGTGGCGATCTGGGCTTCCAGATGGGCGAGGAAGGCAACGATATTTTCCTTGGCGGCGGATCGTTCAACTTCTCCTTCGGTGGCAACGGCGACGACCTGATGATGATGACGGGTGAAAAGACGAACTTCGTCTTCGGTCAGGACGGTGGCGACTGGCTGATCGACACAGGGGCATTCTCGGACTTGTTCTGGTCGGCGGTCTTTCCGCAGCTGCCGGATTTCGGCACGGGCGACAGCTCCGATGCATCTTCCCTGCTGCCCTTCGATCTGTCGTTCGGCGAAACACTGTCAGGCATCAACGACAAGGTGGACAGCGTCAAGGCGTTCCTGGATGAGATGAACCCGCTTGACGACATTGTCGATGCGGTCGGTGACGTCGTCGACGATGCCAAGGAAGCTGTCGAAGACATTCACGACACGATTGCCTCCATATTTGACTACTCCAGCACTCAATATTTTGGCGGCAGTGGCAATGACTTCCTGACCGGAGGCAAGGCCGGTGGCGATGCGATAGGCGGCCAGGGCGACGACACTTACCTCTTCACCTTCGGCTCGACCGGTGAGATGGATGTCGACGAGGCTGGCCTCGACGCAGCGCGTGAACTCGGTGACTTTGTTGGATTGGCCAGCGACAAGCTGGACGCCATCTCCGGTGGCGGTGGCGGCTCCGATGTTCTGGAACTTCGAAACGCCGGCGAAATGGATGCCAGCGATCTACGGTTCTTTGTTGAAGGCGGCAAAGACCTGGTGATCGAGGGTGATGGCGGCAGCGTCCGGATCAAGAACATGCACGAGGAAGCGACCAAGGTGGAAACCCTTCGTATCGTCGGTGAAAACGGGACGCAGGACATAGATATAGGGTCAGCCTTTGATGACGGACTTTTCGTCTTTACCTGGTCGGATCGTTCGGGAGCAACCGGGATCGAGGCACTCGATGATTTTGAAGAAACCTTCGACGATCCAACAGCCGGCATGATTGATTTCGACGGTTACTTCGGGGCACATAGTGCCGAAAGCTCAACCGAACTCGCCTTCGCAAACGCGTTTGACGGGTGGTTGGACACGATTGTCGATGCAGGTTCCAGCTTGCCTATCGTTGGCGGCACGATCGGCGCGGCAGGTGAGCTCGCCGAAAGCGTCTTCGCCTTCCAGACCCCCGAAGTGCCGGACGAGTTCAGCTTCCTCTGATCAGGGAATTCTCCAAACATCCTTCGCCGGGGAGTTATGTTGCGCGCGCAACTCAGCTCCCCGGCGAATGTATTTCGGCTTCACTCGATCGCATGAGCCAGGATGGGTCACGTCTTTCTGGATCGCGACCAACCTGCCGGGCAGGCCTAAGCCCTTCAGAAGTTGTTGATTGCCGTCCCCAATTGCTTGCGCAGTTCGGCAAGGCGTGCTTCGAGCCGCAGAGTTTCCTTGTCGAGCTCCTCGATCCTGGTTTCGGAGTTATCCAGTTTTTGAAGCGAGCGCTTGTAAAGGTCCGACCCGGGAGACAGCGCCGAAAGGTTGGCACGGTGGCGCTGCTGATTGTTGATCTCCTCAGACTTTCCTTCGCGTGAATATTGTATTTGAGATTGTACCTGCGTCCTTTCGGCCTGCATGTCAGCGAGGGCCCTCAGCTTGTCGGCACTCTCCGTGTCAGGTACCCGTCGCACGAGGTTCAACAGGCCGATTTGGTCCGTGTTGAAAAGGGCATGCCTTTCTTCCAGCGTCCGCTCCGCTTCCACGGTTGCCGCAACCGTCTCGCCCATTGGTACAGTGAGTTTCAAGCGGCGGTGCGTTTTGGTGGAATCCAGGTACTCGGGCGATGAAAAGCGCCAGCCTTCCCGACGGGGATGCTCAATGATAACCTGGCGGTCACCGTCGGGAGCGCCCCTGACGGTGTAGACCGTCTTCGATCTTTCCTCGACGGTTGCTGTCAGTATGCCACCGCTGACCTTGACCGACGTGATCTCCTGTGTCGGTTCGGTTTCCGTTGCCACCCTCACCTTTCGATCGGTCGCGAAACTCGCCATGCGAAGTTCACCAGCCGGCATCCCGTTGATCTGCGCATCGCCGACGTAACCTTCCTTTCTGTCGTAGACGGTCAGGATGCCCTTCGGCAGGCTGGAGTCTGTTTCATTCTTGATCAGGATCGCTGCGATTGGGTGGTCAAGGCCACTCTCGGGCTGGAAGACCGACACGCTCTCGGCCGAAACAACCGCATCGACAATCGGCGCCGAAAGCGTTTCGCCACTTTCCAGGTCAATCGCGTCAGGGAGCGCAAAGAACGCCGTTACTGCGCCTTCTTCCGCTTGTCCGACTTGAGCCTGCGCCATCGCCTCCTCCATTGGTGGTGCAGCGGCATAAGCCACTCGCGCGCGGGCTTCATTGGCTCGCTTCATCAAGGCGTTGCCTGCGAACCCGTCTTGAAACCCCTCGATTGCGCCGCTGTCTGCCCTGGGCACATAGCCGCCGGCAACATCGACCGGCACTTCCGGTCTTTGCCGCCAGTAAAGATCATGCAAGCGCTGTTTCAAGGTGACCGGCGCTCCGGACGACAATTTCACCCGCACATCGTCCCAGTCTTCGCCACTTGCATTTTCAAGCACTGCCCAGGCCTGAAGCCGGGCCTTGTCCTCCGGCAGCATGACAACCCGGTAGGCCGTCTTCCAGATCGGCGTCGGCACGACATAGGAGACGGAGACTTCGCGAGCCCCCTCACCGGCAACCTTGATCGAGACGGTTCTTGCGCCATCCGACTTGCCGCTTCCGACGGCAGACAAGGCTCTTGAGACTTTCTGCTGGATATCATCGTCGAGAAACCGGATGACCGTGTCCGGTTCCAGATCGACGCCGAGAATGCTGCCATCGCTCAAGATGGACGCCACGCTGACCTGTCCGTCATTGCCCTTGTTCTGCACCGACACGCCCATCACCAGGCCCTCGACCAGGGTGCCCTGCTTTTCCAACTGGACACGTGTTCCCTGCAGTTTTGACAGCAGCCTCGCGGGCGATTGAAGATCTTCGGCGGCAAAGGGCAGGTTCTTGAACGTTTCGGCAAGCGGATTGGGACCCGGCAGAGAAAGGCCTTCGACAACACCGGTCGCATCGTAGACCACGATGCTTTTCAGAATATCGTTCACCTGTTCCAGCGGAACGGTCATCAATATCTCGCCGGTGCTGTCGATTTCCGCCTTGCGGACGATCTCGGCCAGACCGCCGGACGACAATGTAATGCTCGTGATCGGACCGTTTTCTTCCGCTTCGGCAAGGGCGGAAAAGGCGACACAGACAAAGGCAATTGCAGGCAAACGCATAATCATCAAAACACTCCAACGCAGCTATTGGTGGCAGAGCGTCCTTGATAATTGCGGCCATAGTGGGAATGGCCAACAAATGCTGGTCATCGTAACGGTGCCTATGGCTATAACCATTTGGAGCGGCATATCCGAGTACCCCGCAGCCTGGTTTCAAGGGCGATCAGCCCAATGGTGGCAATGCTCTGGTCGCGCAGACGCCCGATGCCTCGTCTCCCGTTGCGCGGACCACCAGGTCGACCGGGGCGTTTCTTTTTGCGAGATCGACAGGTCCCGTCTTCTCGAGCCACGACTAGTAGCTTCGATGAAGTCGCATGCGATCCCATTTGTAGTAGATGCCAATTTCGGTTCCACCCGAAACTCCCGGAATGTCGACCGCAGTCAGGTTTTTCTCCGAATAGTCGATCAGTGCTTCGCCATACAGCGTCTTGGCAAGACCCGGCAGTTCGGTCCGCAGGGCCTCAAAGGCCGGGTCACCACCCTTCGCCCAATCCGCAAGCTTGTCCATTCTCTGCACAACTCTAGAGTTCGTGGCCATGCCTTCTGCCACTTTCTTGATGATGTTCGGAAGGTTGCTTGATGCGATCTTTGCCGCCTTTGGATCAAGGAACGTTTTCCACTTTCCCCCGACACTCAAGGCCCAATCTGTCCCGGTGGACACATGGCCATCAAAGCTGGCCGCTGTCGGAAATCCCGTCGCCAGGACGATCGCCGCGCCGCCAGACACACCCGCAATCGCCCCCAGACGTCCCGAAGAAGTTGATATCACCGCTACCGCCGGGTTTTCGTCACCCACCTTGCACAATATGCCGATAGCAGCCTCGCCGGACACTCCGGCACCAACGCTTGCCTTGAAAAGAAGTCCACCCCAAGCGTGCGCTCTTCCTTTGGCCAGTTGAGGTTTCCAGGAGCTGAAATTACCGTAGACCGTGCCGCCAAAGAAACTCTGGCCGTCTCCCCAACGTGCCTCGAATGCTCCATCCCTGTCCCAGTTTCGGGACAAGCCACAGATCCTCTTTCCAGACCCTGATTCTTTCAGGTTGAATTTCCAACCGTTTACGTCCCCGGTCCAGGCGCCCATACCGGCGCTCGTGAAACGTCGAAACCCCGCCGGAATAGGCCGCACAATTCGCCAGGTTCCGCTGTAGTTGGTGTCCTTGTCTATCTGAAGAACAACCTTCATCTTCGGATTCTGTTTTGATGCCGGGATAATAATATCTATCAGGAACGACATGATTCAGCCTCTACAATGACTACAAAAAATATCTACAACGGTGACAAGGATTTCTTTTTGCTAACTCGTGAAGCAAATACAGTTTCCCGAAACCAGTTTTACCATCACCACCAGACTGTCTCCGAGCGCATTAGAGTCATACTCACAATGAGACTGCGGCTTGCGTTCCGACCAGTTCGCGGTTCCCGGTCAGCCCCGACACGCCGATCCAGCATTATCCCTTTGCATTCAAGCGTCCGATCCGGTTTTCATGTGAACACACCTCACATCGGCTACGCATGATCTGCGTAATTTCAGAAGTAACTCATTCGCTACTTTACTATTTTCGTTTTTAATTTCTAATTCGATTCAAATTTCTTCCGAATTTATCGCAAATACCAACTCTCTTCAACGATGGAAGCCTGCACAGTGCTGGAGAGCGCCAAAACCAACTCTTGGAGATGCAGAAGGGTCTCCAATCGCACACGAAGTTCGTTGGCTCAGTTCCAGTCATGACCTGCAGCCGTCCAGCCTGGCAAGTGCGATACGCATCGGCGAAAGCCGCATTCAGTCGTCTTCCGGTGTTGCCTCTGTTTTGCCAAGTCTATCAACCGCCGAGGCAAGCTTGACCAGATTGGCTGCATAAAACCCCGCCGCGTTGATGCAGTTTGTTTCCAGCAACTTCAGTCCCTGCCCGGTTCTGCAGATGTCGAGCACATAGGCAGGTGAGTAGCCGGCATTGCGGTCCACCATTTCCTGCGCGAATTGCAACGCATCTTCATCAATCTCGTGCCGGTAGACGACCCTTGATCCTTCCTTGTAGAGCGACCAGGTGACTATCGTCCCGTTGATGGCCCATAACCGCCATTCCTTGAGAATACGGACGGGCTCGGTTAACATCAGCAACGTGTCATGGCGCAGCGAGCCGTTCGGGATTTCGTCTTCCTTTAACGCGATTACATTTTCAGCCATGCGGAGTATTTCGTCCGTTGCCTTCACATTGCCGGGCTCTTCCTTGCTGTCATCAACCGGACGTATGAACCATGACCTTCCATCGTCAGCCAATTGCTCTGGAATGTCGCGAATTGTCAGAAAGAGCGCGTCGGCACCGTTCAGCAGAAAGGGTTGCCAGCTTTTTTCGTGGACGAACGGCCGCAACCGGAAGACGCCCGGCCTGTATCCTTTGGCCTTGGCGTATCGCCAAAGCGTATAGGACCCGAACATGACCACCGCATCCGTAATCGGGATGTCGGGCTCCGGAATGAGATCGCCGACAAAGGGCACGACCTTGTGCCATGAGTACGGGATGCCGAGACTGTCAAGCGCTTCAGCCAGCTTGTGCGTATCTTCGAATTCCTGCAGCAGCCAATGCATTCCGTTACTCGCCTCTCAGGTAAGCGCGCAAGACGCTCAAGCCAACACCACCGGCCAATGTATTGCCCGCGGCTATTTTGGTGATCTTCCGAGCAATCATCAGAGATAACCAAACCGAGGAAGATAAAACCGATACCAATTCCGGAAATACACAAGTTTCAAAACCACTATCCCCAGACGAATTGAGGATATCAACTCCTCGGACTGCGCGCTGAATGACGGACTGATATGCTCAAAGCCGTGATTCCAACGGGACTAAGACGAGATGGCAACGCAAACGGTGGCTAATCCGCTCCGCGATAAAATGCTGAAAGGACTTTCCTATCAAAAGTCCGGCGAGATCGAAAAGGCGCAACGCTGCTACAAGCAGGTTTTGAAAAAGGTTCCCAACAACGCCGACGCATTGCATCTGCTCGGAGTAACCTACCGGCAGATGGGTTATCCGAAACGGGCGGTGGAATACATTCAAAAGGCCATCGGTGCCAATGCAAACCAGGCCCCGTTTTATGCCAATCTTGCCCGGGCGATGATGGACATCGGCACAGATTCCGAAAGTCTTCTCGCGGTGTCGAACAAGGCCCTCTCACTCAATCCGAGAGAGAAGGAAGCGCTCAACATCAAGGGAATTGCCCTGACGAAGCTGGCTCAGCCCGAGGAAGCGGAAGAGATCTTTCAGCGTCTGCTCGTCGACCATCCCGATTTCGGCGATGTCTACCGGAACTACGGTATTCTGCTGCGCCAGAACAAGGACTATTCAAAGGCACTGGTGTTCTTCCAGAAGGCCATTCAGCTTGTGCCGGACAATCCGCAAAATTACATCGAACGGTCCCGCTGCCGGCAGGAACTGAAAGACTATGATGTTTCGCAAGAGGAATTGTCCGAGGCGCTGAAACGCTTCCCGAATAACGCAGACATCAAACACGAGGCAGCCCGGCTTCTTTTCTCGCTCTCCCAGACCCACGTGGGCGTGACCTATGCCGAAGAGGCCGTCGCAGACAATCCCAAGGACTACCACCGCCTGGTAACGCTTGCGGTTCACTATCTCATGCTCGGTCGCGGCCAGCAGGCAATCGACACGTTCCTGAAAGCCAAGAAGCTCGCTCCGGAAGGGGCAGCAGGGATCGACTGGAACCTATCTCTTTCCTATCTGTCCGTCAGCGATCTCGACAACGGCTGGGCACTTCACCGGGCACGGTTCAGCGACAAGATGTCGAGTTCGACTGCCCGCGAATTCAGCGTTCCGGAATGGGATGGCGAAGACCTTTCCGACAAGACCGTGCTGGTCTGGGGCGATCAGGGCCTGGGCGATGCGCTAAAGTGCGGCACCATGCTACCTGACCTTGTCGGGCTTGCAAAAAAAGTGATTGTCGAACTGTCGCCCAAGGCAGTGCCATTCTACGAGCGATCTTTTCCGGAGATTGTGTTTCGGGTCAAGCTGCCGGACGATGCCGTGTTGCCCGTCGACTACGATGTTACCGCAAATATCACCGATATCGCCCGTATATTCAGACGGGACATTGAGCAGTTTCACCTCGCCAAATCACCCGTCTATGCGTTCGATCCGGTCCGGGCCCGCGACTATCTCAGCCGTCTTCCCGATGCCGGTGAAAAGCCTGTCATCGGGGTTGCCTGGCGGTCCAAGAACCTTCAGAAATACCGGGCACGATACTATCTTTCTGCGCCTGACTTCGCGCCGATCATCGAGGCGGAGGACGCGATCTACGTCAACCTTCAGTATCTGGCGGTCCAGAAGGAACTGGAATTCCTGACGGCACGCGCCAAGGGAAGTTTCGTCTCTTTCGAGGATGTGGATCTTTTCGATGACCTGTGCGCGGCGGCCGACCTGACGGCGATCTGTGATCTCGTCGTTTCAGCCAATACCAGCGTTGCCGACATGGCCGGCATTCTCGGTGTCCCCTGTGTCCGGTTCGGCCCCGTGGAGCCGCCGCTATTGCTCGGACAGGCTTCGCCACCCTGGTATCCGAGCATGAAGTATGTCCATGTCGACGAAAGCAAGCCGACGTCGGAGATCCTCCCGGAGATTGTGGGTGTCATGAAGTCCGAATTGCAAGAAGTCTATCCCCAGTCGCGCCGCGAGAGACTGAAGCTCTCCTAGCGGCGCCGCCCGAAGCCATTGATCAGGGTTTTCTTGCGACAGCAACAAGAGTATCCGTTGCGTCAATCTTCCTGAGCGCAGCTTCATAGGCAGAAGAAAGCTCCGGCGTGTCGAGCGCAGACAACACTCCCTTGTGACCACCCGGCTGGCCTTCAGCCAGCCACTTCAAATGGTTGGAAAGAGGATACCGCTGAACGCCGTCGATAACGATGTCGGTGAAGCCTGCGAATTTCAGCATACGATGAAGGCTGTCGCGCGTGTGCAGGATCAGGTGTTGGCTCCAGAGTGTGAATTTCCTGAAGGAATCCGATTTGAGCTGGGAGAGGAGGAAATCGTCGGCATGCGGCACCTCGACCACGATAATGCCACCCGATTTCAGGATTACCGAAAGATCGGCAAGGACCTGAAGAGGATCTGGAATATGTTCCAGTACGTGAAACGCGAAGACAGCGTCCTGCGACGAGGATGCGATCGCCGCTGGATTGTCGAAACAACTGAACCCATCGGACATCAGGGTTTTGATAAAATCCGCCTGTAGTTCCACACCGCTTACCGCCAATGTGTTTTCGGCAATATTCCTCAAAAACGCTCCTTCACCGCAACCGAATTCCGTAACCGTCTTCCCGGTGTAGAACTGGCTGTAGGCTTCGACCCGGCGGCGCGTATCCTTTTGGAGTTCGAAGTCCCGACTGCCCGCACGCCGGACGGTTTCCTGCCGATAGGCTCCGTCTTCATACGTACTGTCGCCGACATAAAATCCGTCGATATATACAACTCCGGACAAGCTATCCCGGTAGACCGGCAGTCCCTCCCGATCCCTGGTCGACGTTGCAAACGTCTCACGCGTTTCAAGGCTGGCAAGCCCCAGTCTTTCTAGCGTCTCAAAGATACCGGTTTCAGTTTCCATACGGGTATTCCTCAGAGAAACATGCCGAGCTAACGGTCAGGCTTTGGCGAGCATGCCGCGGGAGATCAGCAATTCGCTGAATTCGTGCACAACGGCAGCCCCTCCAGCACTTTCAAGCACAATCGAGGCGCAGGCCTTCACCTCCGCCGGTGCGTTGCGCGGTGCGGCGCTCAGGCTGCACGCTTTCATGCAGTCGATATCTGCAATGTCTGCACCAATGAACGCCATTTCCGAAAAGCCGATGCCATGTGTCGTACTCCAGTCCGACATGATCTGAAGCTTGTCAAAGGGATGGGACTGATACTCCATGGCAAGCTTTCGCGCGCGCTGCATGGCAAGATTGTTCTCTTCACGGTCGAGCATCAAAAGACGGACATTGCGACCATGCAGGCGGTCCAGTCCAATTTCGTCGTATCGGTTGCAAATTATTGATTCCGTGCCGTCACGATTGACGAAAACCGAGTTGTCCGTGTGAACACCGTCGAAAGAGGTGACCAGCGCGCGCAGGGGTTTGATATGTTCGGGTGCAAGCTCGCCCGTGAACTGCTCGGTCCTGATGAAGGCCTCGGCCATGTCCCAGTCCTGAGAGGTATCGATCTCGATCCAGGTCGAGTCCACCGGCACCAGGATGGTCTTGCCGCAATACCGGTTGCCGGCTTCCAGAAACTCAGGCACGCGCGTGGCATAAACCGCGCCGTTTTCACGGTATCTTGCAGAAATGTCCTGACGTCGAACGCGCGGTTTGCTCGGATCGTGGTTGATGCCGACACCCTCGCCGTTTTCGCCGACTTCCCAGTAAAAGCCGTGGTCATCCACAACCGAAATAGCACTGGTCGCACCCTTGTTCAAAAGGGCTTCCACCACCTGATCGACGTGATGCGCCTGCGTGAATGGCGCCGTACACTGCAGGAAGACCAGAATGTCGGGCGGTTCGCTTTGAAGTGATGGCTCGTTCCGTAACAGGTGCATCAAAGCCGATTCAGAACTTGCAGTCGGACCAGACAATTCCAGGGGTCTCATAACGGCCCGGGCACCGTATTTGACAGCGACGTTCAATATGTCATCGGAGTCGCTGGAGACGAAGACGTCCGAGACGAACCTTGAGCCCCTTGCAGCGCGAACCGTTCTGCCCACAAGCGGTATTCCGTTCAAGGGTCTGATGTTCTTTCCGGGAAGTCCAACGGAGCCGCCCCGCGCGGGTATGGCCGCAACAATTTTCACAATTCAACTCCCGGAAACATGAAACCCGGTGGTCAGCCCGGTTTTCGTGCGTAAACGGTCACGAAAGACCCCCAAAATGCAGGTGACACTTCTGCGCTCGCCTGCACCATCGTTTCAAAGGCTGCAACCGAGGCAAACCGCGTTCCAAAAAACGGGTAGTCGACCTGCTCGATACGAAAGCCCTTGTCCCGCAACAGCCGGATCAGGGAATCATCCGTGAAAAGGCTGACATGCGTCGGGTCATGCAACAAGCGGAAACGGTCCCCAAACACTCTGGCTGCTGCACTGGCGAAATTGGGCGTGCCGCAAACAAAATCGCCGCCCGGCTTCAGGATCTCGAATATCGTGTCAACGAAAGGGACAGGCTCGTCGACATGCTCGATCACATGGTTGGCGACAACAACGTCGAAGCTGTCTGGTGAAAACGACCCCGGCTCCAAAACCCCGAGACGCAGGTCCGCATCGCAGCGCTGGCGGCCAATCTCGATTGCAAGTTCAGACGGGTCCAGGCCGAAGCAAGTATTCTTCTCTTCGATCTGCTCAATCAATTCACCCAGCCCGAAACCGATGTCCAGAACGGTACCCGGCGCCCGCGCGTTGACATAGTCGGCAATGTATCGGACATCGGCCTTGCGCATGTCTCTTTCGGATGCCGCATCTCTTACATTCCCGTCCGGGTCCTTCTTCAAGTCCCAATAGTCCTGGGGCAAGGGACGCGCCGGATAGGAGACGTAGTAGTTCTCTCCCCGATACAATTCCAGACAACGGTCGATGATCGACATGCTTGTTTTCAATCGCCCCTTGTTTCGGCTATCCGGGTTGTCCGTCAGATCATGTGCAAGGACAATGTGCCCGTCTCACGCCGCGGACAGCGTGTCATTGCGGCGCAGCTTTTCGGCGATCGGTTTTTCGTCCTCGTAGAAGCGAAGAACGCCATCGCCGCGGACAACCTCGAAACGACGAACTTTTCCAACCAGTTCCGCCATTTCCGCCATTTCAAGCGATGCCTTCTGATCGGACCCCCAGTCGGATCGGTCGAGCGTCACGTGTCTTTCGACCGAGCAGGCGCCGAGTGTTGCCGCGCAAATGCTCGGCAGGATGCCTTGTTCGTGTCCGGAGAATCCGATTTCCAGGTGTGGGAAGGCTTTTTGAAGCGTCTTGATGCCAAGAAGATTTATCTCTTCATCAAGTGTCGGGTAGGTTGACGTGCAGTGATAGAGACACGCGATTTGGCCACCGGCTTTTTCAATGATATCGACGGACCTGCGGATCATTCCCAGGTCGCTCATTCCGGTCGACACCAGCAAGGGACGTCCGGCGGCGGCACAGTACTCCAGGAACTGCCGATCGGTCACCATGGCAGAGGCGATCTTGATGTAGGGTGTCTCGTAGGCCATCAGAAAATCGACGGATGGTTCATCCCAGGGTGAGGCAAACCAGTCGATCTGAAGGTTCCGCGCCGTGCGGTCAATCGCATCATACTCGGCCCTGCCGAATTCGAGTCCGCGCTTCAGATCACCGTTGGTCGGTCCGAAGACATTTTCTCGGGCCCGGGCCAGTTCTTCGGCCGTGTAGACTATTTCGACGGTTCTCTTTTGAAACTTCACTGCATCGCAGCCAGCCTGTTTTGCCTGGCGGATCATCTCCAGTGCCTTGTCCAGGTCACCGTTATGATTGATGCCGACTTCGGCAATCATGTAGGTTCCATTTTCAGAGATCATGGCATGGCACCTTGTTGTTCGGTCCGTGTCGGATGACGGTCCGTGCCGGACTTCGAATTTCCTAACCAAACTCTTGCCACTGCAAAACAGACCTGTCCACCCGGCAGCCCACATCGGGTGCAGATGCCCTGTGCTTTCTTTGGAAAACCCCAAAATGAACGTGAAAAACGATAAAGGGCTCGCGAGTACCGCAAGCCCCCATTAATTTTCCTTGAAAAAATAATGTTTTGCCGGCGCAGGCGACTCAGCCGACGAAAGCGCGCTCGACGACGAACTCGGCAGGCTTGTTATTTGCGCCTTCCGTCAGACCCGCCTCTTCAAGCAGTGTCTTGGTGTCCTTGATCATGTCCATGGAGCCACAGATCATGCCGCGATCAATCGCCGGATCCAGCGGTGGCACGCCCAGGTCCTCGAACAGCTTGCCGGATTTGATCAGATCGGTGATCCGGCCCTGACGCGGAAAGTCTTCGCGGGTGACCGAGGTATAGTGCACCAGCTTGTCCTTTGCGAATTCGCCAATCAGCGGATCGTTGATCGTTTGCTCGACCAGATCCTCGCCATATTTGAGTTCCGCGACTTCGCGGCAGCTGTGCGTCAGGATAACCTGGTCGAACTTCTCGTAAGTGTCCGGGTCCCGGATCAGGCTGGCAAACGGGGCGATGCCTGTACCGGTCGAGAACATGTAAACCCGTTTCCCGGGAACAAGGGCATCATTCACCAGCGTTCCGGTCGGTTTCTTCTTCATCAGTACCGCGTCACCGGGTTGTATTTTCTGAAGATGAGACGTCAGCGGACCATCCGGAACCTTTATCGAGAAGAACTCAAGCTCCTCGTCCCAGGCCGGGCTGGCGATCGAGTAAGCCCGATACAACGGCTTTCCGTCGATCATCAGGCCGATCATCACGAATTCTCCGGAGCGGAAGCGGAAGCTCGCCGGTCGGGTCATGCGGAAGCGGAACAGGCGGTCGGTATAATGCTGGACGGCCGTCACTTCTTCCACGAAGGCGCCTGCCGGAGCGGCGGCTTCAAGGTCGGCGGGTTTGGCAAGTACGTTCATTACAGTCGATTTCCGTGGGTCATTTCGCATGAGTAGTTATGCTCCATGTACCCCACAAACTCCTTGACTTGAAGCAACTCAAATCCACAAAACCGCCGCACTGCAAAAAAATCGTTCCAAAATGAGCCTGTTTATTGGTGCAACGGCAATCGTTCGCACCCACTCGTGTTCGCCGCTGTTCATTCAACCACAAAATAGCTCACCCAAGGATCATAATAGAATTTCCTCAGCGAAATATTTTCTATTGCAACCTGTTCCTTGAGCGCAATTGTCTCCCCCTGCCATTTCTTGCTGTTGATTTCGTCAAGCGCGACAATTCCCCCCTTGGGCACGAGAGGCAGCAAGTGTTTCAGGGCTACCCGTGTGGGCTCATAAATGTCGAAATCGAGATAAAGGAGCGCGACAATGAGGTGCGGATTGTCTTCAACGAATTGCGGTATCGTGTCGAGTGCGTCCCCCTTGACCAGTTCCATCTTCGGAATGTGGGATACCGCGCGGTTTCCGTCCTGCAATTCGTGCCACGCGCACAGGCTCTCGTAATTCGTGTCGGCGAAATCGCTTTCCGAAACATCGCAGCTGTCTTTCGACGACAAGCTTCTGAACCCCTCGAAAGTATCGAACCCTATGATTTTTCGGTTAAAGTTGTAGGGCTCCAGAATTGTGGACAGGTGATAGTAGAGAAAGAGCGAATTTGCCTTGTGAACGCCGCATTCAACGATCGCCCCCTGCACTTCCAGCACCTTCCTGAAAAGATCGATACGCGTCAGAGAGCTGGTAACGGTCTGCCTCTCCGCATAGACAAAAGGAGCTGCTGCGACATCATGAGAAGGCGTCGAGGACAGCAGCCTGTCCCGTTTCTCCGCATAGGACTTTTCGGTTTCGGACCATTTTGATCCAGTCAATTCGGTCTTGGACTTCATCCGTGCCTCCCCGCGGGACTTTTAAGCGAATCCAGACTTACCAAAGATGCGGGACCCCTCACAGTGGATCTTGAGCGAAACCCCCAGGGCAAGTGCATTCCGTTGCGCTTCAAGGTTCGGCATTCCAGCACCGGATGAGCGATCAACGAGACTTCGTGAACCTGATTTCTTTCTGATTCAACCGCTCAAAACAATGACCGGCGAACCTCTTTTAAAATGACAATTTCGAGAAGTTGCTTGATCATGATCTTTTTTATTTGACAGACAAATAGAAAAAGCAAAAATTACTGGATGCTCGACAACAAAGCATAATAATACCTTCCAATGAGGCAAAGTAAATGTCCGGACGCGCGCACGAAGAAACAGGCCAATCCATAGCATTTGTGCTCATGGACCGGTTCTCTATGAACGCATTCGCCAGCGTCATTGAACCGCTCCGCCTAGCAAATCGACTTCTTGGTCGTGAATTTTACACATGGACAACTTACTCCCTTGATGGGAATTCAGTCATCGCCAGCAACGGCTGTGATGTCCTTGTAAACAAATCTATTCGAGAACTAATCGATGCCGACATTACTCTTTTGTGTACTGGCATTGACGTAGAGCGTCTTCCACTCAACAGCGACCTCGGCAACAAACTTCGCCGCCTGAACGCCATGGGACGAACGTTCGGAGCCATCTGCACAGGCGCCTATCTGCTCGCGCGTTACAATCTTCTCGACGGCCGGCGCTGCACAATTCACTGGGAAAACCTGCGCTCGCTTCGTGAGGAATATCCTGACGTCGAGGTCACGTCCGATATATTCGCGATCGACCGCAATTGCATCACCTGCGCTGGCGGCATGGCCTCGCTCGACATGATGCTGCGCCTGATTGCGATCCAGCACGGCGCCTATCTCGCCCACGAAGTGGCGGAAGTCGCGCTTTACCAGAACATGCGCTCCGGTGAATCGGCTCAACGGCATGACATCGAGGCACGGACCGGCATTTCCAACGCCAAGATCCTGGATGCGATCCGGATCATGGACCTTCATATCGAAGATCCGCTGAGCTGCCAGCAGCTCGCCATGACCGTCAACCTGTCCCCGCGCCAGCTGGAGCGCCTGTTCCGCAGGCATTTCAACTGCACGCCGGGTCAATATTACCTGCGCCTGCGCCTTGAAACGGCCCGCGACCTCTTGCGCCGGACCAGCCGTCCGGTCCTTGATGTCGCACTCGCCTGCGGGTTCGCCTCCACCTCGCATTTCACCAAGTGTTACAGGGAGCGTTTCCTGTGCACCCCGACGGAAGAGCGACAGTCCTATCAATGGGCGAATACAAGGACGACATCCGGCGTCGGCACAGCCACACCGATGCGGCTGGTGGCGAAATAAACTAGCGATCACAGATCAATCCGGAAAACGCCGCAACTATGCGGCGTTTTTTTATTCCGGTCGTCCGTTCAATCTTGCGTTCTGCTCTCCAGGGAATCAATCAAACCAGGATCCGTTGCTGTCACACCGAGACAGTCATTCTCAACTGAAACTGTTTCACCCTTTAGAGCTGGCTCGGGAAATTTGCACAGCTGGGATAAGTGGAATTTCTGCCTGACTTTGGCTTAGATGCCGGAAACAGGAGAGACGATGACGAGACGACCGCGCCGGAACCACAGCCCGGCTTTCAAGGCGAAAGTTGCGCTTGCCGCGATCAAAGGCGAGCAGACACTGGTGGAACTGTCCCAGCAGTTCGACGTGCACGCCAACCAGATCAAGCAGTGGAAAGACCAGCTTCTTGCGGGAGCGACAGGCGTTTTCGGCGATGAATCGAAGGCGGTACCGGCAGGGCCGACCGTCGATGTCAAAACGCTGCATGCCAAGATCGGGGAGCTGACGCTGGAGAATGATTTTTTAGCCGGAGCGCTCGGCAAGGCGGGATTGCTGAGCGGAAAGAAATGATCGACCGCGAGCATAAGCTATCGGTTGTGCGCCAGGCAAAGCTTCTCGGCTTCAGCCGTGGCAGTGTCTATTATCTGCCTCGTCCGGTGTCTGAGAGCGATCTGGCTCTGATGCGCCGGATCGACGAACTGCATCTCAACTACCCGTTCGCGGGAAGCCGGATGTTGCAAGGGCTCTTGAATGGAGAAGGGCTGAGTGTCGGGCGGCTTCACGTCGCCACGCTGATGAAGAAGATGGGCATCGAGGCGATCTATCGCCGCCCGAACACCTCGAAACCAGCGCCAGGTCACAAAATCTATCCCTATCTCCTGCGAAGGCTGGCGGTCACCCGGCCCAACCAGGTGTGGGCAATGGACATAACCTACGTTCCGATGGCTCGCGGTTTTGTCTACCTCTGTGCCGTTGTGGACTGGTTCAGCCGGAGGGTTCTGTCGTGGCGGCTGTCGATCACTATGGAGGCAGCCTTCTGCATCGAGGCAGTCGAGGAGGCACTGGCTCGCTATGGCAAGCCAGAAATATTCAACACTGACCAAGGTTCGCAGTTCACTTCCATCGACTTTACGGCGGTGCTGAAGAAAGCTGAGATCGCCATCTCGATGGACGGCAAGGGCGCTTGGCGGGACAATGTCTTCGTCGAGCGGCTTTGGCGGTCTATCAAATACGAGGAAGTCTACCTCCACGCTTACAAGACCGTGTCCGAGGCCCGCGCTGGCATCGGCCGCTATCTGACCTTTTACAACACACGACGCCCACATTCATCCCTTGACCGGCAGACGCCGGATCAGGCCTACTTCAACGCGCTGACGCCGATGATGGTGGCGGCATAATCGAGGCGGAAATCCACTTAGCAAAACGCCCCGAACTGTTCAGACAAACCGAGCCACCTCTCTTTCGATCACTGATTGATCGAGAAAATTGTTAACAATGGGGAGCAGTTTAACAGGGTCCTACAGCTGTGCGATACCGCTGAAAGGGCTCACGGAATTCCATGCTCCTCTAGATTACCAACATTTCGCCACGACAAACTATGCCCGGGCCACCATAGTGACGCACTAATCGTCGCAAATAATCATTAAACAACATGTTCGTGCTTTTCACCTCGTTTGTGTTTTCATCTAAGTGATAAACCTCATCTGGCACTGCTGACCGGGTCGCAATGAAAAAAACTTGGGTCTCACTCTCTATAGAAAATGCAAAAGGCTTTTGAGCTGCAAGCTTTGTCGCACCAGCGGCGTAGATGTCTTCTTGTGTTTCCGCCTGAAAAACTACAAAATTCCTTACCGACATCGTCGGCCTGTAGAGAATTATTGGATCATCCCCCATCAGCCCCCCATCACACCTGCCCATTTCACGCATAAATTGACAAAAATTCCCTTTTATTTCGATATCATAGAGTCGTTCCAGCTGAGCAATTTCCACTTCTGAGTAACCTTCAACTTTCTCCGATGCGTAAGGGACTCCTTGAGCTATTTGTTGAATGAAAGTATCCACTATTATGTTGTCCCGTTGGTGCCGCGAAAAGTCGTCACATTAAACGTGGGAATTGCAGTCGCAAAGTTATTTGAAGTGACTGCACATGACCCGCCCCATCTAAATGGCCCGGCTATGGCAAGTGAAAGCTGAGCAAGCTACGTGCTCCCATTCCATGACATCACAAGCGGTTGATCCGCAGCAGGTTAGTCAGGTTTGCGCCGATCTTTTGAAAGAGCTCGATGCCGCTCGATGCGCCGGATCAAACGAATTTTCTGAGTTCAGACTCAATCACCTGGAGGTGGCTGTCTTGACACTGGCGACGGTTCTCAAATCCGTGACTCATGAGGCCCCTAGAACAATCGCCAGAGCCCAAGCGGGACCAGATAGACACCGAGCCCGAAAATCGCGATCAGAATCAATCGCCGAAATGCCGTTTCCGAAACCTGGCGCCGGATCCGCTGTCCGAACCAGACTCCCGACAGTGCCGGCACGATCAGGACAACGGATGCCAATGCCTCGCGGCCGCTCATCAGACCGAAGCCACCGAGTGAAACACCAAGTGCAGTTGTCGACAGCAGAAACAGAAGCCCCATCGCCTGAATGAGCTCATCCCTGCGTAGTCCGAGCGCCTGCAGATACATGACACCCGGCACGGTGAATGCTCCGGTCAGGCCGGAGAAAACACCGTTCAGGAGGCCCGCAACAATCCCGACCGGCATGATGTTCTTCTCCTTGAGCGAGAGAGACAGCCCGGCAAGCATCGGGACGGCGTAGGCAACCATGAGCAAACCCAGGATCAGGTCGGCCGCCCCTTCCGGAACCTGGGTCAGAACGAAGGTTCCGACACCAAGCGCCAGAACGGCAGTTGTCAAAAACGGCCAGAGGCGTGTCACAAGCGGTCGAAGATATCCGCCCGAAAGGCCTTGCCAAGCATTGGTCAGAAAAGCGGGCCACAACACAAGCACCATAGCCTTTTCGACACCCACGAAAACGGTCATCAATCCGAGACCGATGGCAGGCAATCCGAAACCGACAAGCCCCTTGACAAACCCCGCGATGACGAACGCGATGCAGGCGATGGCCAGCAAAAATGGATCCAACCCCAGAATTTCTGTCAAACCCGCATTCCGTTTCTCAATCTTGTGTCATGTTGTTCGAGCCCGTGTTTTCAAATACCGTTCTAAGTGCCCTTAACTGGCTTGAAACAGTTCCGACATCCGGTCCAAGCACCAGTCGCAAGAAACGCAAGCATGCCCAACTCTGCTGCAAACTCCGTTTTTCCTGCCGAAATCCGGCGCGATCCAGCATTGACTTCAATGCCCTGAAACCGAACGTCTGCCGGCGTGAGGGAGAAAAATACCGGTATCGCGCTTTCATCCCACACGGCCTTGAACGACCACGGCATGCACTGTCCGTACCGCGACGTTACATGATCTCCGTAGCGGCGGAGCCGTGATCTTGCAACAGCCGGGTTCCGGGTTCACCGGTGTCGACAGCCGCATGCGTCCAGGGTGCTGATGCCGACGAAGGGCCTGCAGGTCAGTTCTGCGCTCCGGAGAGGCATTCCGAGGCGAGCAGAACATTTGCATAGCTGGCAGCCAGAGGCGCCATGATGGATGCGTGAACCATGTGAGACGGCACGCTGACACCATTGTGCTCAACATTGGCGGCAGCGCAGGCGTCATGTGCGACCATGACGGCGAAACCCAGATCGACTGCAGCGCGGACTGTGGCGTCAACACACATCTGGCTCATTGCACCACACATTATGACCCGCTCGATCTGCTCCCGACGCAAGCAATCTTCCAGGTCTGTGCCAACAAAACTGTTTGGCCTGGTTTTTTCAATAACCGTTTCCGAGATGGACGGTTTCACGCTGTCATGAAGATCCGCACCAGGGGTACCCGGGCGGAAAAAAGGAGCCGCATCGGACGTCATGACATGTTTGACATGAATCACCGTCGTGCCGTTGCTGCGGGCGGCGGAGAGCAACCCTGCCGCTCTTGCAGCTGCCTCGTCCATGTCCGGAAGCGGCATTCTACTATTCTCAATGCTTGGAAAGTAGTCGTTTTGGATATCAATCAAGAGCAGGGCAGATCTGGTCATTTTGTCCTCGTTTCGTCAGTGCATCCACAACGAGCCATGTTTACGGCGCTTCGCAGCACAGGTACGATTGGCGGATATGACAAAAGAAGTGCGAAATACGCCAACCGTTGCGATCATTGCCTATGAAGGTGCCCAACAATCCGCCCTGTTCGGATTGGGCGAGATGTTCGATGTGGCGAACCGGCTGGTTGAAAAAGATGCAGAACAAAAGATCAGCCACAAGGTTCTGCCAGCCTCGCTGATCATTGACACCGACAGTGCAGATGCCATCATTTTGCCACCCAACCTGGCGGGTGTTCGAGGAGACACAGATCGGCATCTGCACAACTGGATCCAAAAACAACATCTTGCAGGAACGATCGTTTGTTCGGCCTGTGCAGGCAGTTTCTGGCTGGGTCATGCAGGAATTTTGGACGGCAGGCAGGCAACAACCCATTGGGCGCTCGAAACCGAATTCAGATCGGCTTTCCCGAAAGTGCAACTCCGTGCGGAGCATATCCTGCTGGATGACAACGACATCGTGACCGCGGGAGGTGTCATGGCCTGGATTGACCTTGGAGTTCACCTGATCGGTCGCTGGCTGGGTCCAACTGTCGTTTCGCGCACCTGCCGCCAGATGCTTATCGATCCGACAGGACGGGAACAGCGCTATTATCGGTCCTTTCGCCCGACCACGGCCAGAGACCAGACAATTCGCAGCTTGCAGCTTTGGATGGAACGAAATGCGGACCGCGATCTGTCCGTTCGTGCGCTGGCCCTTGAAACCGGGCTTTCCGAACGGTCGTTGCACCGCAAGTTTTCCTCCGAAACAGGATATTCGATAAATCGGTATGTGCAGGAACTCAGGGTGGAAAAGGCAA